GCCCAATCTCATCAGAGAGAGCCAAGATAATCCTGCCTAGATAATCACTGTGACTGGTGTCCTGGCATCTTCTAAGGCCATGTGGAAAATAGAAGTTCACTCTGCAGGGGAAGGCATGGGAAGGTGCTTAGAACCTCTGCAGTCAACACCTGTGAGGAATTGGGTGAATTTTGCCACAAAGTCTTGTGTGACTGAGGTAGAGATTTCTGATGACAAGACAGGTGACTCTACCTTGCTTGACACAGAGCCAAGGGGGACTCTGGTAAGGTAGACTCTATAATCATGGTGTAAAAGGATTCCAGATTATAGCACGCTCTGGGGTCACCTGTTGCAGCAGGACTATCCTCTCTGTGTCTAGATACAGACAGTTAACAACACGTGTGGTGGTGATATAAATAGCTCAGGGTTCAAGGCAAGGTCTCAGGTACTCCCAAATCAAGGCAGCTGATAACCGATGAGGGTCTTAAGGCCAGAAATGGCCAAGGCTACTGTAGACAGACATTAAAAATGGATCTGAGATCAGAGTTCCACATGGCTCCTTTTCAAAGCAGGAGCAGCAGCAGCAGGGTGATCATTCTATAATGCTGAATAGTGTAAAAGAGAACACGGAGCATGCATGCAACACCCCAACCAGCTAATGAGGTCAGTGCTCAGTGACTCAGCGTTAATCCCTTCCACGGCACAACTGGCGTAAAATAGGAAAGACACCCAGCTGTACAAATAGCAAGGTACCTCCTGGTGCTCACACAGCCAGGGCAAATGCAGAGGCAATGCCAGTGGCTCTGGACCTGGAAATAGTGCTTGCCAGACCACATTTTGGTAACAAGTTAGCCATGGAGTCAACACAAAGCCCTGTGCCTGAAGGTCACAGGTTCACCATGCATGTCCAGTCCAGTGTGCTCTGGGTACCGCACTCCAAAGTTAGGCTGAAGATAGGCTGATCCAGATAGGTGCCATGTAGGGACCAGCCCAAGCAGAGATGTAGCAAATAATCTTGATTGAAGAAAAAACTGAAGTAGAATCGAAGAAAAATGTTATCAAGAAACAGACATTTTCCAGCAGAGCTGAATAAAAGATGTCCAACCTTCTAGATCACTAGAAAGAATGACAGCATGCTGGGTACCAAAGGAGTCTCTTGTACATATAGCACATCTACCCGCACTGCAACTAACAAGAAATAGCACAACTACCCACACTAGGACTAATAAGTGTTAGAAAATAAACTAATATAATATAAAAAAAATATAAAGAGCCTAGGAAGACACCCTGTGAGAGGGATGAAACGCGTTAGCCGGAGACCAGAGGTGATGTCATATCCAGCCGATGAAACATGCCAGAGCGGGATTTCCAGTCCAGTGGTTTTCGTGATTTTAAAAATTTATGTATGTGCAACTAATTTTAACTGTGTTTATAATAAAACAGAATTACGCTATGTGGGCCCTATTTCCATTCTTTTTTCTATGTGAGAGAACATCAGCCTTGCAACCATAGGAGATGTAGTGGAAAAGAGATTGACCAAGGGGAATACAAGTCCCAGTGATCACAAGGAATTTGTAACACAAGCACATTAGACTCTTTATATACAGTTGCAAGAAAAAGTATGTGAACCCCTGGGATTACGTGGAGTTTTGCATGAATTGGGCATAAAATGTGCTCTGAACGTCATCTAAGTCACAACAATAGAAGAACACAGTCTGCTGAACGTAATACTACACAAACATTAGATGTTGCCATGGTTTAATTGCACATAACATGTAAACATTCACAGTGCAGGGAGGAAAAAGTATGAGAACCTTTGGACTTAATAACTGGTTGACCCTCCTTTGGCAGCAATAACCTCAACCAAACGTTTCCTGTAGTTGCAGATCAGACCTGCACAATGATCTGGAGTAATTTTGGACCACTCCTCTTCACAAAACTGTTTCAGTGTAGCAATATTCTTGGGATGTCTGGTGTGAATCACCCTCTTAAGGTCATGCCACAGCATTTCAATCGGGTTGAGGTCAGGACTCTGACTGGGCCACTCCAGAAGACGTATTCTGTGCTGTTGCAGCCATTGTTTTGTTGAATTACTTGTATGCTTTGGATCATTGTCCTGTTGCATCACCCATCCTCTGCGGAGCTTCAGTTGGCGGACAGATTGTCATACGTTTTCCTGCAAAATGTCTTGATAAACTCTGGAATTCATTTTTCCATCAAATGACAACAATCCGTCCAGGCCCCGAGGCAGCAAAGCAGCCCCAAACCATGATGCTCCCTCTGCCATATTTTACAGTGGGGATGAGGTTTTGATGTTGGTGTGCTGTGCCTTTTTTTCTCCACACATAGTGTTGTGTGTTCTTTCCAAACAACTCAATCTTGGTTTCATCTGTCCACAGTATATTTTGCCAGTAGTGCTGTGGAACATCCAGGTGCTCTTTTGCAAACTTCAAAAATGCTACAATATTCTTTTTGGACAGCAATGTGGTGTCCTCCCATGCACTCCATTCTTGTTTAATGTTTTCCTTATTGTAGATGTGTCAACAAAAATGTTCGCATGTGCCAGAGATTTCTGTAGGTCTTTAGCTGACACTGGGATTCTTCTTTACCTCATGCAGCATTCTGCGCTGTGCTCTTGCAGTCATTTTTACAGGACGACCACGCCTCGGGAAAGTAGCAACAGTGCTAAACTTTCTCCATTTATAGACAGTCTGTCTTACCGTGGACACATGAACATCAAGGCTTTTGGAGATACTTTTGTAACCCTTTCCAACTTCATGCAAGTCAACAATTCTTGATCGTAGGTCTTCTGAGAGCTCTTTTCTGCGAGGCATGGTTCACATCAGACAGTGCTTCTTGAAACCAGTAAACCCAAAACAGGTGTGTGTTTTTTAAGGGCAGGACAGCTGTCAGCAACACATCCAATATCATCAAACTGATTGGAATCAAGGTTGGCTCACTCCTGGCTCCAATTAGCTCTGGGAGAAGTCATTAAGCTAGGGCCTCACATACTTTTTCCTCCCTGCACTGTGAATGTTTACATGTTATGTGCAATTAAACCATGGCAACATCTAATGTTTGTGTAGTATTACGTTCAGCAGACTGTGTTCTTCTATTGTTGTGACTTAGATGACGTTCAGAGCACATTTTATGCCCAATTCATGCAAAACTCCACGTAATCCCAAGGGGTTCACATACTTTTTCTTGCAACTGTATAAGAAACCACAACTGTTTGTGAGTGTGGGAGTAAAGCAGGGGGGCACTGCACAGTAATTTTGGCACTTATTGTTTTGGAAGAAAATTGCACAACGCCAGTACAGACTGCACAATTATTTGAACTTTAAGTTGACTGGTGTCTGCACAGACATTGGACACATTTTGGATATGTAATAATGTATAGGGCAGCGCTTTGAGTTGTTTTTGTCTTGGTTTGTTTTAAAAGAATTTTTCTGGCCTACAATTTCTTTTTTTTTGCCAGTGTGTAACCCTCCTGTAGGTGGCATTATAACGATAAATGACTTCCTCAGAAGGAGGAAAAAATAAAAACGAGACCGTTTAAGGGAGGTTCACCAGAAAGCACTGTAATAGGCTTTGTCTCTGAGGTCCTGCTTGGCCAAGTGGGTATTCGTATTGTCATATAGAAAGTACAGAAAGGGACAGCTGACATAGAAGACATTTTTTATTGAAAGCTTGGATTTTGGTTTTGACCCTAATTCCAGAGACCCTTAAAAAGCTGAGTGATCAAACCTGTTACATGTTCCCTAAAACTAAATGACTGGTTTTGGGCAGTGCAACTCACACAATTAATGTTGAAACTGAGGTTTACTGTGATTAGGGATAAGTGAACTGGTAAAGTGGGGTGTCCCATTGTGTTACATTTACACATTAAGTAGAGTATATTACTTTCTTATTAGACAATGTCATAAGTGGCAGAAATTCACATCCCATAAACCTCTTCAGCAATAAAAGTGATACTGTTGTGCACTCTGCATAACATAAACTAGTAAGCGTTGCTTAATTTTTTTACTTTTTAATAGTTAACTAAAAAATTAGGTGAATCAAATCTCTATTCGGTGGAGCAAGTGATGGAGTTCACTCTGCCGACTAACAGATGGAGCAGATTTTCATCTCTAATTGCGATGTGCATTTTTATATCTTCCACCCCATATACTTGAGCCCTTTTAGCATCAATACATACACTCACCGGCCACTTTATTAGGTACACCTTGCTAGTGCCAAAAAAATATCTCCCACACCATTACACCACCAACCTGAACCATTGATACAAGGCAGGATGGATCCACGCTTTCATATCGTTTACGCCAAATTCTGACCCTACCATGTGAATGTCGCAGCAACCAGTCTGCCCATTCTCCTTTGACATCAACATTTTCATCCACACAATTGCCGCTCACTGGATACTTTTTCTTTTTCAGACCACTCTCTATAAACCCTAGACATGGTTGTGTGTGGAAATCCCAGTAGATCAGCAGTTTCTGAAATACTCAGACCAGCCCATCTGGCACTAACAACCATGCCGTTCAGTCACTTAAATTCCCTTTCTTCCCCATTCTGATGCTCAGTTTGAACTTCAGCAAGTCATCTTCACCACTTCTGCGTACCTAAATGCACTGAGTTGCTGTCATGTGATTGGCTGATTAGCAATTTGTGTTAGCAAGCAATTGAATAGGTGTACCTAATAAATAAAAAGGGAGTGTATATTCAAACATTAAAAGACAATTTCCTATGACGTGTGATCTAACAAAAATTTCAAACGCCAATGGCTATAAGTTTTGCAAACAGAGGTTGGGGTATGCAGTGAAAATAGCTAGCTGTATCTGTCAGGATCTACAGGTAATAAAATCTAAACACTAGTCACACAACTGTATTGCGTCTAAACACCTGATATTTGAAATGTTTTTGAGCTTGCTAACCTCCATAACTGTTCAGGGACCCCAATGTCCAAGAAAGAGAAGAAAACATAAGACAGAAGAGAACAATATGAGAACAAGGATACAAACCTCAAGCACAACAATAACTATAATCGCTGATTCAGGACCAAGTGAGGGTAACAGTCTCTGAAGCTGTCCGCATTGTCCAATCAGGTAACAGTTCACAATAATGGCTATTACACCCATTGCCTCCATTACATTCTGAAAGAGAAGTGTGCATGCTTTTACCTTCAGAAATTACTATTTTTACTCACTCGATAGCTTTTGTTAATTATTTTTTTTGGCAGATAAAGATCACTGAACACATGGTGAAAAAAGCTACAGCTATAGAAATATATCGGCAGTACGAAGTTGTTCAAACCATGTACATTATATTGTAAACCTCTCACTGCCGTCCACACCCACCAGCTCCTTACTTGCCACTGTCCAATTCCGTCCACGCGGCGACCAAACGGCCTCTGAAATCCACTGCAGAGTTTGAAGGCATCACTGCGAATTTCAATGAGGTTATTGACAAGGGCACATACTGCAGCAAGTGGAAAAGCAGATGAGAAAAGGACCACATAACCAAACTGAACAAACATCTCTTGATAATCCTGGAAGGTATCCTAAGGAAAGCACAAACAAGATCAGAATGAAGCAGACCTCATCTTTATCAGGAACTTTAAGAAATGCACCATAAAACCAGTCTTAGAAGAAACAGATAAATACAAAATGTTACAAAAATATCAATAAATATTCTCTTTAGAAATATGGCCAGACAAGGTTGTGTCATGATGGAGTCATATATAAGGGACTTTAGGAAGAAAATGAACTTGAGTACTGCCCATGGACAGCTAAGAAATTAGTTCAGTTTAGTGGTAGCTGAAACCGCAGTAATACTTACCTTTCCGAGTTTACACAGGACTGAGGACACTTTGTGACCCCCCTCCCCATGTTTCAGCGCTGGAGGCCTAAGCAGTCAAGCACCAGTGCTCCCATATGGGAAGAAGGGGAATGAGTCAAATGCTTCTGCATACCCAGAAGTACTGGGTATTTATTTCCTACCCTAGTGGTCAAATGGAGCGGGGGAGAGGGGAGTGAAGGAAACATGAGCATTAACTGCTGGTCAGGTTAGAAAACATAATACACTCTTCCCTCCTTGCTGCAACAATTTTTTAATCAATACGCAAGCTTTATACGATGTTTATTTGGCAGCATACTCACCCTCAGCTTGCCCATTCCCTCTTGCGAAGACGCAAAGACAATGGTGGGTTAGGGCTACCAGACATTAATCTGTATTAAAAAGCCATGACTTTTGTGCGTATTTTAAATTGGCATCATGATTCCCCAGATAAATTGTGAGTCCCCCTTGAGAAAACTTTGGTGGGCCGTAATTTTGTGGGAGTGCTGTGGATCCCAACAAAAGATAGGAAACTCTCTTCCTGGAGTTCCCTTCTTACACTAGCAACCCTGCATACATTGGACCAGATAACGAGACACAGAGAATTTTCTCCCCCGATGTCTTCCCTGGCACCTTTGGGGAGTTCCCTTGGTTCGAGGCCTTAAGGCACCTCCTGTCCCTAAACCAGCTACAGCAAACTTATGGAGGGTTCCCCATGGACACTTGGCACCATAGGCAAATGCAGCATTTTTTTTTTAGTAAACTATGTCCAAAACTACGTGCAATGACTTCACTTACTGAGTTTGAAAAAATTATATATTCTCCAAGCTGACACCAAGCATCTGTTCTACCACACGTATAAGCTGATACAGGGAATGCAATCGCATTGTATCCCTTATTACATCAGGGAATGGGAGGAAAAAAATGGGGATGCGACCCCCTCCTCCTTTAAATCATACAAACACAGTGTCATCCCGCACCTACTGAATGCAGCCAAAAAAAGAGTTCAGAATTAATAGGGCAATTTCCCTATCCCAGCTCACTGAGTTTATAATTGCTACCTTATCCCCCTTATGGCATTTGATCTTGAGGGCTATGGGACCTTTGGGTGCCCAGCAACGGTGTCTTAGTTGCAAACTCAGAGAAATACATAGTAACATAGTTAGTCTGGCTGAAAAAAGCCAAAAGTCCATCCAGTTCAACCATTAAAAAAAAAAAAGTTATAATCCTATACTTACAGTTGATCCAGAGGAAGGCAAAAAAAAACCCCAGCAAAGCATGATCCAATTTGCTCCTGCATTGGAAAAAAATTATTTCCTGAACCCCGAGAGGCAATTGGATATTCCCTGGATACATAGATGTTTCACATAGGGTCATTGTCCGTGCCCCCCCTCTTCTTTATTATTTTGCTCTCTTTTTTTATATATATTCTTTTGGTCACATTTTCCTCTCTGGGTCCATAGGTGACACTAATTTGACCTTGGCCACTCATTGCAATAAATGACGAGGTCCCTTGCCCAAGGGGTGAGGTTCCTCCTATAGGATACAGGCAACAGCTCCTAGTGCCTCAGCATCCTTAACAGGGTCAAGTCTGCTCGGCAGGCCCCATATTCCTCCTGTACTAGACTTTGATGGATATACTCCGCAGGATCGCATGTGATTGGATAATACACTTCTATTGTTACATAGTTAGTCTGGCTGAAAAAAGACAAAAGTCCATCCACTTCAACCATTAAAAAAAAAAGTTATAATCCTATACCCAGTTGATCCAGAGGAAGGGAAAAAAACCCAGCAAAGCATGATCCAATTTGTTCTTGCAGGGAAAAAAAATTCCTTCCTGATCCCCCGAGAGGCAATCGGATATTCCCTGGATCAACTTTACCTATAAATGTTAGTATCCAGTTATATTCTGTGTATCTAAGAAAGAATCCTGGCCATTTTTAAAGCAATGCATTGAGCTGGCCAGAACCAACTCTTGAAGGAGTCTATTCCACATTTTCACAGCTCTCACTGTGAAAAAACCTTTCCGTGTTTGGAGATTAAATTTCTTTTCCTCCAGACGTAAAGAGTGCCCCTTGTCCTCTGTGATGACCTCAGGGTGAATAGCTTTACACCGAGATCACTATATGAACCACTGATGTATTTATACATGTTGATCATATCCCCCCTTAATCTCCTCTTCTCAAGAGAGAATAAATTCAGTTCCTCTAATCTTTCCTCATAGCTGATCTCCTCCATGCCTCTTATCAGTTTGGTTGCCCTTCTCTGTACTTTCTCCAGTTCCCCAATATTCTGTTTGTGAATTGGTGCCCAAAACTGAACTGCATATTCCAGATGAGGTCTTACTAATGATCTGTACAGGGGTAATATGATATCTCTCTCTCTCACTGTAGTCTATACCTCTTTTAAAACAAGAGAGGATTTTGTCCACTGCACAGCTTGGTGTCATCTGCAAAGACTGAAATGGTATTTTTAATCCCAGAACCTATATTGTTTATAAATATATTAAAAAGTAAGGGTCCCAACACTGAACCTTGGGGTACACTACTGATAACCCTTGTTATCTGTGCTTTTGCATTATGATTTCCATTTTAATCACAAGTGCCTGTTGGTTCTGGGGACAACTTTACTTGGTATGCCACTGTTATCTTTGGCACATATGTAAGAACTGAAGTACTGCTGCTGTTACAAAGTGCCTACACTTATGGTGATTTTGTTTTTTTAATAGTGTCTTGTTAATATCTTCTGTTTTTGTAATACCATGTAAAACGGTTTAAAAACTGATTATACAGAAAGAAAACATAATGCGCTCTTCCAAGGGCAAAGCACTGAATGGCCACACATAAAAACAATATCACTTTTCTCACCTCATACTTCTTCATACAACTTTCCACCTCAGCTTGAGTCAGCTTTGTAGGATAATGGTCTTCTGGAGGGTCCATCCATGACTCTCGTTTCTGCTTTCTCTCAAACTGCTCATCATCCTCACCTTCCCTACTAATCTCAGGTTCCACAGTCATCCTTTTTCTCCTTCTCCTTGGCCTCAGCTTTACTGTAGGTTCCTGCTCTTCTAATTCCTGAAGCCCTGCCACAAGTTCTTTTTCATCTTCTTCATCATCCCCCAGTTGGAAAACTGAGGCTGGGTCACTGCCTTTCTCCATAAGTGTAGGACTTCCTTCTTGTAAGAAGCCTATCTCATCCTCCTGCTGGATTAGTAGGCACTCTTCTGCTTGCTTTTCACCTTTTTCCAGAAAGCTAACCCTTTTCAATTTCAGTCCACAATCCATGATACTTTCTTCCTCTGATTCATCTTCCTCAGAGAAAGCACCTTCTTCTTCCTCCTCTGGGACACCACAACCTCCATTTAAGCATTTCTTACGTCCTCCTACACCAGGCTCCAAAAGATCTCCAGGTGGCTTGGGTGGCCGCTGAGGGAAAGCATACTTCTGCACAAGCCTTCTTAGTGCATACTGAATAATAAGCCAGATGGATTTAGGATTAATCTCTCCTTGCTGCATTTTCTGATACAGGTGAGGTTGTGAGACCTCTTTTACGTTCTGTAGAAACTGGCGTATGACCAAGAGTGTGGCTAGCATCTGTATATATATAAAAAAAAAAAAAAGAGAACAGCAAAGTACATTTGAAAGAACTTTAAATTAGTATAGGATGCATCCAAAATAAAGACATAATTCATACAGCAATATACTTTAAGGTTAAAGGTCTTATTTAAAAATATACATGTAACTGCAGTAAATGATGAATAATTAATGAACAAATGTAATTCCTTAAGAAAATATTTGGTCAATGTATTATCATGACAGGGCACATTTACCCCCTTCCTGCCCAGGCCAATTTTCAGCTTTCAGTGCTGTCGCATTTTGAATGACAATTGCGCGGTCATGCAACATTGTAATCATATGAAATTTTTATCTTTCTATTGAGACAGATAGAGCTTTCTTTTGGTGGCATTTAATCACCTCTGGATTTTTTATTTTTTGCTAAACAAACCAAAAACAACTGAAAAGTTTGGAAAAAAAAGTTTTTTTTCTTAGTTTCTGTTGTAAAATTTTGTAAATAAGCGATTTGTGATTTTTCTCCTTCATTGATGTGCGCTAATGAGGCCCCAGTGATGGGCACTGATAGGCTGTACTGATGGGCACAGATAGGTGACACTGATGAGGAGGCACTGGTAGGTGGCACTGATGGGCATTGACAGGCATCATTGGTGGGCACTAAAAGGCAGCACCCATATATGATAGGCGGCACTGACAGGTGGCACTGATAGGCAGCACTGACTGGCACTGATAGGCAGCTCAGATGGGCACTGATATGTGGCATTGATGTGCACTGGTAGGCACTGATATGTGGCACTGACAGGTGGCATTGATGGGCACTGACCGGTTGTACTGATGGGGCTACACTGATCATCAGGGCATGCTGCCAGCGTGACAGCTCGTGAGGAGAGGAATGCCGATAACCGGCATTTCCTTATTTACATGCAATCAGCTGTTATTGGACACAGCTGATCACATGACAGAGCCAACATCATCGGCTCTTTCCATTGATTGGTGATCCGTTGTGTCCCAGGGACACAGCGCACCACCAATCACCGCGCATGTGCAGTTAGAGTGGGAGGACGTTATATGACGTCCTTCCAGAACGGGAGAACCGCTTTGCGCCCGTCATTTCCTTATATGGCGGGTGGGAGACGGTTAAAGGGTTCGTTTACATTTGAAAAAAAAAAAAAAAACCCACATTATGCAGTTAATATACACAATATTATCACCCTAAATCAATAAGATTTTAAAACTCTGCTTTTCTTCTGCCAAAATACCATTTTCACAATGACGGAAGCCTGCCAGGAAAACTGCAAATGCTTTTCATGGCTCCATTCGGTCTTCTTACTAGAAAAGAGCAGCCATTAAAGTAATTGCCTCCTAGCACTACAGGAGGGGGCACTGTCCTTTTCCTGAGGGCCGCACAAGCACAGTGCATTCCCTCTTCTGATGGTTCTGATGAGCTCAGCAGTTGCAACAAATAAGCGCAATGCCCATGTGCAATCCTCAGGAAAACGACAGTGCTCCTACCTGTAGTGCTAGGGGGCACTCATCCTAACGGCTGCTCCTTCCTAGTAAGAAGACAGGACAGAGCCATTAAAAGAAGTTGTAGTTTTTCCAACAGGCTTCTGTGAATGTGAAAATGGCCAACATGCTCACATGTGTGTTATCAGAAGAGAGGTATAGTTTCAATTCCTGATTAGCTTAGAAGAATGCTATTGTGTTTTTTTGTTTTTTAAAGGCGAACTATCCCTTTAAGTAGTACTCCATCGAAAAAACTATTTTGGATAGTGTGAGAAAGAATTAACATCTCTGCTGGGTTTATGTTGCAGTTTCCCAGATGAGGAGATTAGCTTGCATCTTCTGTCCATTGACAAATGACATTAATACAGGAAGAGAAGGGAAATTTCCTCAGAGGAACACCAACAGCAAAAAAAGTATACAGTTTCTAACCTCAGTATTCACTGTGCAATAGATATTTACCCAATCTGAACAGATATTTTTTCCATTTGCAAATCTAAAATCAGCTTTGATCTTAGAAGCCAATTTAAGTACAAATCTTGATCCAAGCCTGATTCAACTATCCCTACTCTGGATCGTGTCATGAAAATCATGGCAAAAGTGAAATCAGCCTTTGATTCTTCCTTTTTCTGTGAGGAAAAATGGAAGCAATCTAACAGCATATGTGCTGCTATCTCACATGGCCTGAGAGTAGAGATGACCTTATGACAGCTTCTTGCTACCACTGTTCTCTGTGAGACATCTCTCTATCTAAACCACTGTGTTCGGCTATCTAAAGGCTTAATACCCCTCTTATTAGAAGTTATTCAAGCTACTACTGATCTGACTGCTTTGGAAGGAACATTGTATATACGTGTTAGTCATGTAAGGAGGAATAATTCTGCCTCCTCCAGGCAAAGCTAAGACCAGTTATTTCAGAAAAAAAAGCTTGCAAAACTCCATTTTATCCTTTAAAGCCTACAAAGCAAATGTAGAGATTATTGTTAAGAAGGTGGTTTGTAAAAAAAAAAAAAAAAAAAAACAGACACTGCGGTGCTTCATTTTTCTAAATGCTGTAGCTTTCAGCATATGTATGTCAGAACTAGAATTTGCAAATTTAAAGTGCACCTGCAGTATTAGATAAAATGATATGTTGTGGAAAAAGTAGATAGGGAATTTAGCCACCAATCCCTTGTGTTTTTTAGTCATTAAAATTGAAGAGTATTTTGGAATCATGACGACCACTTGCTGCACTAATTATGCCCTACTCAACCATACGAAGACACACTTAACACTGCTATTCTATGCCTATATTGCTAACATAATGAGGTTAGGTTATGGTTGTAGTGAAGTTTCGCGTCTTAGTTTTTTAGGATGATGATGATGATTGACAGCTGTCTTTCACATCCAACCTCTTCCACAATCTATCCATGCTGCACTGCCATCATGAAAAAAAACACCATGGACATATAGACAGAGACTTTTCATCTGTTCCTCTCTGACCCTAGTTTCTCTGTTTTGCTAAGGGCTTGACTTCCCTGTTTTGGAACACTGAGGGATTGACATCCTTAATTCTGGAGCCACACCACTAATGCTATACTTTATGCTCCCAATGGAGTTCTTTTTGAAAATGGAGGTGCTCTCACAGGACACGGTGGCGTTAGGTATGGTTTGGTCATGGGGATAATCTCCAGATCTGGGAAGGTTGAGCCCCCTGAAACCAGGATCACAGAGGCACAATCAAGAACTTTTTTCTGGGTAGTAATCATAATAGAGACACTTTTGTGGTGCCTGCTCATAAAAAAGCCTTTTAATGGTTTAAAATAGCAGAGCAGTTTTTGCTTTATACACAGATGTTCTTTAGAACAGAACACAAAAACTTTTAGTTCTGGAAGGAGGATAATTATGGGTCTCTGCATGCATTATCATCATTTTCATTACAGCCTATTTTCATATTTATCGTGCTGTATTTACCCTATTTGGTTCTTTCTGCTTAGTAAAGTGGGAGGTAAAAGCAAAGTAGAATACTGAGGAAGATCACGGAGGTAGTCAGGCTGCACTAGGAAGCATAAACCTCTAACCACCCTCCATCCTATACCAAATTAACTTTGGAGACAGTGTCAAACCAAGGAAACATTTGACCTCTTAAGTACTACGATAGTTAGTTTGACACCACAGCAATGGGAGTATAGTTCACAAAGTTCCTGTACATTAAATAAGAACACAGAATTTCCCCTCCCATCTCCCAGTTTCATACTTTAGACCTGAAGAAGCGCCGGGCTGATCTGAGAAGTGCCCTGAGGAAGATGAGGAACAGTTGGAACTGGAGGGTGAGGAAAGGAAGGAGGGCGCCTTTAATCTGACGGGTGAAGCTATGAGGCAGAGAGAAAACAAGCAGTTGCTGCAAGGAGGATGGGAAAGGACAGTGTGAGGTGAAGGAAAAAAAATGAGGGAAAAAAAGAGAGATAAGAACAAAAGGAGAATAAACAAAATTATAAAGTAGGGACAGAAAGAAAAAGGATTAAAGCAGTGTCACATGTTCAGTTATTTTTCTACAATATCTATCTATCTATCTATCATCTGTTACCCAAATGTGAACTTGCTACAACTCTCTTATTAAAAAAAAAAAAAAAAAAGAAAAAGAAATGTATTATACCTTGACTGCAGTAAAGCCCTGACATGTGAACCTGCTTTAAACCAGTCACTGTCGATCAAGATTTAGGCAGCACAGTTAATCAATAGAACAGCACTTTTCACATGCATGCAATATTGTGAGCCACTTGGCATCTGTAGGAGTAGTAATTGGGTCTAAGTTATGTGAAAGACCCTTGAAAGATAGTCCAGGTTGAACCAATTCTGACAGGCTAATCAAGACTAAAAAAGCACTATGCTGAAAAGCACTAATGAAACTGTATCTCTTCTATAGTAACTGTCACGGTTTCCCATCCTTCACTTTTTCAATGAGCACCAGTAACAAGAACAGTGCCATCTAGTTTGAACATAAATCTTTGTTCCCATCCATAGTACTGGTTCATTGACCAACAATTCAGCAGTGCTGAGAATCAGTAAGAGTCAATTCACACCATGTGCAGCGAATACAACTCCATGTGTTGATGCATGTTGCAGTGTGCTGCATTAACCAGCCCCCTAAAAATTAATGGGCTGTAAGATACTAAAAAAAACAAAAAACAAAACTGCTAACTTTATTTTTTTTCACAATGCATAGCACTGGACGAAACATGCATTGTTGTGTGTTGAAGTGCATGTGTGTTTTGGAGACACATTGGAGTGTCACTCAAAATGAATGGTACCACAGCACACCAACACATGCAACATGCAATACAGCAATGCAAGTGGTGTGAGTGGGTCCTATGGATGACGTAATTTACTGCTTTAAAGTTGCAAAGAAGACTACTTGTAAATGTATTTTTAATGGCTATGTCTTTAATATCTAGATGTGCACAAACTGGACATATCCTTCAAAATATGTCACCTATAAGACATGCATGTTCCTCATCGAACAGTGACCTTGAAGCTGATGATAAGGGTTCAGAAATAAGATGGGTTGGTGAAGGGAATGATTATGTCAGAAAAAGAGAATGTAACACATACTCATATGATGGGAGTAGGAGAAGAGCGGTATAATGCCTAATAGAAGAATACATACCACACAAAAAAGACATTTTCTCACAGTTATTCACTATATGTATTGCTTTCTTATGGCGTTCCTCATCAACACATTAGTTGGGCACTAATAAAACCCATATGCAGTAATAATGATGTAGCAACAAAGCTGAGGGGGAACATCATAAGTAAAATTTGAAAATATATAATAAACAAAAGTTGAATTGAAAAGTAGCTCATGTTAACTTTTTGTGCTTCAAAATATCCAGTGAGCATGTAGCAACAACAATTTAAGAGAAGACCATGGACTTATTTAATAATCTAATAAATATTTAGTGAAAGCTGGCTTTGGATTATTTGACAATGGTTTAAAAACACCACGCACCAAAACTGATGCACTAGAAACATGAAAGAAGCCACGTTGGTTGTTTGTTATTGGTAATAACCATCTTTAATTTTATGACACTCTCGTAAAGGAGTCACTCCCTTAAAATCACATCATGTTAGTATAGCTCAGCACAGCATGTTAAAAAGCGAAAGGCCTGAATGTACTTTATGTTGAGGCTGACATCTCATTGCTTAAAATGCAAATGATAAGTCTGACAATGGTGTCTTCACTTACCTCTTTTAGTCTTTCCATGTCTTTGAGGTAGAAACCAATGTAGAAAAGACTCAAATAGGAATTTACAAACTGGAACTGGAGACAAAGAAAACATGAAATCACCAGCTATACACACATAGTTGTTGTCCTTTAAATCTAAACTCCTACCACTTTTCAAAATTACATTCTAGCTCCCCCAAAGTATATTATTATAGGTCTTCTAAATTATAGTTAGAAGAAAATAAGCAACCTCTAGTCTCTTCTATACATTCCATCAAAGGCTCTCACTCCATGTCACAGGTGCACTTCCCTACGTTCTAGCAAACCCACTTTCTAACATAATACTTACTAAAACAATTTTGATGATTAAATGTTTCTCATAGGCACTCTGTAAACGATAATTTTCTGCAAGTACAACAAAATAAGAGGTAAGGAAAGGTGCCAAGACCAACAATCTGTCACATCAGCAAAAGAAAGCTTACTGTAACAAGGTAGTACAAAAAAGGAAGATATATACTGTATAATGCTCTAGAATACTTAAAAAGGCTGCATCAGTTGGTGTTGTAAATAGACACTAAGGGGACAGGGGGAGTTTGTCTCTGGTTTTAAGAGTCAAAGGACTAGAACACTCCTCCAAGATAAATATACGTTTTCCCTAATCATGGCAAAATTGTCAGGCCACTGGATTTATTATGCAACCAGCAGTAAACGGTGTTAGAAGAAAAGGTAAGACTGGGTTTAAATGTATTTTCATAGCTTACTAGGGTTGAAGAAGTGATACGATTTCAGGTGGTTAGATTGTTTGCCAACTTTAAACTACCACCTAGTGTGTATTAAAAGCTAAGATAACATTTTACATAAACAGCCCCATGCAGACAAGGAGCCCCAGTAGTTTCACATACACTGTACCATTTGTTAAAATATTAATGCCAATGCCATACATGTAGGACTTGTCCCATAATGTCTAGCCAAAATACTTCCAAGTCATGGCTTTTTCAAAGACATGAGATGCAACATAATGGCTGCTGAGCAATTGTCTTTGAGGACAACTAAAGTGATAAACTCTATTTGTCCTCAAAGGAAGAGGGTTGGAGGTCATTTTGTTGTAGTCCAGAGTATGAGATGGAAATGTGAGAATCCTGTTGAGGATGTGCAACCAGAGAGTATTTTTTATGAAGGGAGAAAGAGGACTGCGCATGCCCAGCTTCTGAATCAGGCAACATGCAATGCTGGGAGTGAGCACCCAATGACTGCCATGTCCTGAAAATAAGCCAGAACATAAGACGGTGAACATTTGAAGTATTTCAGTCAGGCTTCTTGGGTGACAGAAAAGGACAAACGATATGGGACTGGCAGTAAACAATATTTTTACAAACAGCAAAGTGTATTTTAAAACACAGAGGTCCCTTGTTTGCAGTCACAAGTTTATGTATGTAAAAAGGTGAACTTAACCTTTAAACCAATTTGGCTCTGTGAAGCTTAACATCTATGAATATAAAAACTTTCACAGAAGAATGAGTCATTCTAAGCAATGAAATACTCGAAAACAGCAGAGGCAAGCTTCAGGTAAGTCCACAGTGCAGATGACGAATGACACCAAGTTTATGTGGAGGTCGTTGTTGCAGAATAGAGGACAGCTTGACTGCTGCACTAGGGAGTAAACAGTCTATTTTCCCCAAACTAATATATACATTTACTTGAAATGGTGAGATGACATACAGTACAGTACTATATACAAAAGGAAAGGTAATGAAAAGGAATAAAAGTCAATATACCCATATCATTTAACCAGTAGGCAATCTTCCTGTACACCTCATCACAAGAACTAACTATAATGGCCAAGAGGATCTTGGGGAAGAAGCGAATGAGCCGTGGGAGCTCTCTTATACTAAGGACAAACTCCTGCAAAAGAAAAGAACATGAGAACAAGTGATAACCAGCTGATGGCTATGCAAATATCCACTCTATCATTATAACAATGTTAAGAGCATCATAACTGGGAAACTAAAAAGCTGGTTAATCCAGATCCCAGGTTTTCTTTATTGAATTCTCTAACTTCAAACAGACAACTGAAATAGAGTACTGTGCAGGATTGTATTGGAATGATATTAAATAAATTAACAGTATGGATTTATATATTTCCCTTTCTTAATACACGAAGGGAAAAAAAATCAAACCATAAATTTAAAAGCATTTTTATTTTTGTCAGTGTTGCAGTTGCGATTTTTTATTTTTTGTTCCACCGACAGTAAGTGAGGGGAAGTCTCTCTAGCAGAGCCCCAGAAAGCAGTGAAAAACAGACTGTAAAAGCCAGACCAGAGGGTTTTTATCTACAACTTGGCTGGATGTACAATTTAAAGTGTACTTAAACACAATAGTAAAAAATGCATTTATTGCTGCTGACTAGTCTTTAAATGTGGTGGTTGCATTAGTTTCCTTGTTTTCAGAATTCTTTCCTTCTTTTTCACCATGTGATTCTCCCAACAACACACTTCCTGTACTGTGCTGAAAAGGCTTATTGTATCTATGGGGGAGCAACATTGTCACCATAGGCAGCACTCCTCATACAGACTACAAATACCTTCCTCTCTCTATCTCCATTACATAGAGGGGCATTGCTTTGAGGTTCACAGGAGATACATTTAGGTCCATATATATTTGGACACAGGCACAATTTTAGTTTTGTTTCAGGTATTTACTAAAACATATTCAAGCTATAGTTATATAATGGATATGGGCTGAAAGTGCACACTCTAAGGTTAAATTTGAAGGTATGAACATCCAAATTGGAGGAAGGGTTTAGGAATTATAGCTCTTAAGTGTAGCAATCCCCTATAATTCCTAAACCCTTCCTCCAATTTGGATGTATATATCCTCAAATTAAACCTGAGAGTGTGCACTTTCAGCTCATATCCATTAGGTAACAATAGCTTGAATATGTTTTGGTAAATACCTGAAAAAAACTAAAATGCCTGTGTCCAAATATATATGGACCTAACTGTATTTGAAAATTGCTGATATAAGTAGTTTGAGATTTCAGTTCACACAAAGAAAGTTAAACAAAAGACTTCTGACAGGATCAACAGGTATTTTTTCTGTATTTAGAAAAAAGAACTTAGCCTGAAAAAGGAAACTTATGCAGCCACCACATCTATGGACTGGTTAATTGCAATATATTATAGGTTTTTTCTTGGGTTTAGATAGATCTGCAAAAACATACGGTAATCAAAAATGATTTCTGATGAATAGGGTTTTGCTAACCTGCAGCTCAAAGCAAGCAAGCATCACAATGAAGACGAAGAAGAGACAGGACATGCAGATAGGTAGACTGACACACGACTGGAATAGAAGACGCTTCCATGGGGGGTAGTAGAACTCTTCACAGTTTGTCACTGGACTGATTCTTTTGACACCCTATGTATATTAAAAGTGGAAAAAAGTAAACATCACAGAAAGCAAACGACAAGATAGTAAATAGACTTAACCTAAAATCATCACGAAACACAAAGTTTGACTCTAAACGCATCATCCCTTACCCTGAACTGTGGTCGGGGCTCCTCAATAAACTCAGCAGGGGTATCCAATGTCCCCCACTTGTATGCCAGTTCAGCCCCTCTACGTTTCCAGCCTTCCAGAAACAAAGTAGCCCAAATAACATTGAAGAAAGCGAAGACCACACAGCAAATATCTCGACTAGTCTGTGGGGAAAAATCCAAAATAGAAAAATAATGCAAAATGAAAAACAGCGAGTGAAATAGACACTCATTTCATGTGCAAAAAGCTTAGTTTTGTTCTCAGGATTTGACTTAAAGGTGAAACTCTAGCCAAACAGGTACTTATAAGCATATATTTGCCCTTTTACCTGCCATTTGTAATTTTGGTCAGCCATTCTTGTGGTACACACCTTTGTACATAATTATTCAGCTATTTCCTGGTTTAATAGTACTGATTCATGGGCTATGCGTTTTGAAAGTCAGCTGCATCCTCATTGAACAGTAGTGATGATGCGGCTTTATGATCCAATGAGAAAGCTAGAGGGAGAGAGGTAGCACAGGAATCTTTACTGCTGAACCAGGAAGATGAATTGCTTAGCCAAAAATCATTTGTGTTATTTGTCTGGCAGCACAATATGGAAATGTGTGAAAATTGAAAGACTGGCCATGCAGAATTATAAATTCTTTGTTAGGTAAAACAGTGAATATAAATGCTTTGTATTTTGTGGTTTGCCCAGAGTTTTGCTTCAGGCACCCATTGGGATAAGATGCTCAATGGGATAACCCTACTAACTATGTAACAGAATGCTCTCAGAAGAACTAGTTAATAAATATTTTTTTTTTTAACCATAATTTATTTTTTTAGTTTTCACTGAGTTTTTTTTTTATCATATGCTCAATTTAAATCTTGTTTCTGGTAAACACAGCTTGCATAGAAATATTCCTCCTAATGAACACAGAACAGCTGTACAGATACATTTTTCTACCAAACAGTACCTACAAAAGATGTTCTCACTCTTTCCTGCTGCCCATGTCACCAAACTTCTCTGTTTGATTCTGTGGAATGTTCGGTTGGAAATCTACATCAATGCCAACACTTCCATGAGTGTTGATCTCTGTAGACCCTAACAGCTCTCACTGGTTCCTCCCTTTGACCTCACCCCATTACAGGATATAGTAGAAACATGGTGGTCAACAGGAGGAAACAGAGCAAGCTGCAGATAACCCAGGAGATCACAATTTCCAAACGAGTCGGTTTCAGTGCAACACTTTAGAAGAGGATTCCTCAGCATCAAAGAGGAGATCATCGCCAAGGGCATCAGGAAAGGTAAGTATGTCCTGTCTAGGGACAGCTTGGTAGTAATTTATTTGTACTGTGAGGTGTGGATAGTAAGATTTTTGTATTCACTGTAAAATCTTTCTTGGACTCCATTAAGGACACAAGCAGCCATATACTGTCAGGTTATACTGCCACATACAATGGGACTGGACAATGGGACTGGACACTGGCAAAAAAATCTGTAGGCCAGCCCAGAATAACCCTTCTATCTGGCATGCCTTGCTCTGTAGCATGCAGTACCAAGAGAATGATCATAAACACAGAGGGGTGGGACCAGTGTCCTTCAACAGACTCCAAGAAAAGGATTTCATGGCGAGTACAAAAACCTTGATTTCTTTCTCATCCATGTATATGTGAACACTTAGCTTGTAAAAGAACCCATTCAGTTTAAAATAGAAATGCGTTTTAATATATAAATACATTTTTCTTTTTTTTCTTTTTTTTTTATAAGTGATCACATGAGCTCCTTTCTCAGGTGCATAAGGGGTTTAGAGAGGTGGGGGTGGAGATTGCAAGGGGGCAGCAGAGGGAAAGAAACTGCAATACACCGATCTTCCCAGTGAAGAGCTGAGCAGAAGGGGATGTGAACATATGCTAGGGCCACTGTAGAAAAGGCAGGCTGTGATTCCAGTACAGCCAAAAAAGCAGGGGGACTAGCAGGATCACCAAGTATTTCAACACTAAAAACATGATACAAAAGACACATATCAGGAACATGAACTGTTGGTATGGCATATTCTTTAAGGGTCACTTGAAGCCATATGCTGTTGCGGCATCCAAAAGCAGTCCAACTGAGGATCAACAGACTAAAACTAGGGACCACCTGCTGCTCATGTAGAAACAGGTACCTAGGAGAAAGTCATTGCAAGGACAAGACCAGGCAGTCTATGTATGAAGACCCTAAGCCTCTACTCACCTGACCCCATATAGCCCAAGAAACAAGAATCACGTTCCTTAAGAGTTTGTCATTCAAAACAATCACCTCGAAAGTTGAGGCTTACCAAGCAAGAGCCCTGAAAGAGAACAGAATCAAATCCTGCAAAGGGTGTGAAAATGGCTCCCAAGTCCAGTAGAGAACATAGGATTCGATCCCACAGAGTCAGCATGACTGAATGGGTAAGGTGAATGGGAAAACACTCCAACAGGGGTATGTAGGTACCAAATGTCCTTATATACCCCAAGGAAAGATACTTTTTCAGAGGGAAAGGGAGGTGGCTAGGATGGCACACTTCTCCAGAGGTCAAATTAACACAAGAACTAGAGCTAGAGCCTCTAGGTTGTGGAACCCCCAAGGGAACAGGGAGAGGTTGAGTAATCTCTGCGGTGGCACAGGAGAGAAGAAAGGGAAGAAGTTCAGGATTATCCTGAGAACCCAAAAGGGCACTCTCTCATTTCCCAAGGATCCACAAGGTCTTGCCTCCACACTTTTGGGCTGGCAGAGAATCAGGTTTAGATGGATGTGTCTACTCCAGAAGTATAATGGAAAAGGAATGAAATCTGACATTTCTTTGTAGGCAGATGTACTCTTTGGCCTTCTGCTATATGCCCAATATCATGAGTCAGGTTCTCCTAAATAAAGCATTTACTTCCCAGCATCTTACCAAGAGTATGTATGGACAGCAGACTCCTATGGGACACAAGGTTAGGCACTTCTAAGAAGCCATCACACCTGAAACATAGGGCTTGAGATATTTGCTCCACAAATTATCAGAAAGAGGTCTACTGCAATGGTAGAGAGATCACTTTTAAAAGGGATTTAACCCAGCCTGCCACAGTTTGACAGATTAATGCACAGCCATTATAGGGTGAAGAGTAGTTCCTGCCAGTAAAAAAAGAGATATTAAGCAGGGATACCAACTGCTGGACAGTAGAATCCGTAAAGGTGAGAACGCCTTCTACTACTTGGTTGATCTATAGTGGGTAGTGATTACTGCTTAATACAAACCCCCATAAAAGGTGAGTAGTTCCAAAAAATGCTCTGGTGGGGGTACAGGAGCCTGCAGGGCGCTTCTAGTCTGCACAGAGAAAAACCCTGAATAGCAAGTGTAGTAGAAAGGTTTTTGCAACCACAGGGGTCCTGAAAGACTCAAGATTTAAAAGACAAGTTCACCTTTTAACAAAAAATAATAAATGCACATTTTTTTGGCAGTTAAAAAAATGTGCATTTACTAATTTTTGTTTTGGGAGCTTGTAAAGCATTGCATCAGTAGATCACTGGTGCCATGCAAGACTCTGTGTGCCCGTATATTGTAAGGGCAAGCAGATACATTCTGACAGGAAAAATCGATGAACTACCACCGCGATCCACACTGCCATGGTAGTTTATTGAGAACTACAAGCCAACAGCCACAAAGGCTGTCAGAACCTGTAGTTTTTTCATTCACAGAATACTGTTAATGCGTGATGCAGCTGGGCGGGCAGTGCACTCCCTGCATCCCAATCAATAGACACATAGGTACGGGGGTATATGCGGGAATGAGCCCCCCCAACTCCGGTGAGGGTAAGAAAGTTATCTGGGATGATGTCCTTTTCATCTATCACCTCTGGTCTGACTAATGTGACTTCAGTGTCACAGAAACCAGTTACAGTCCGGTTGCCTGCGAAGACTGGCTGCAAGTTGGATCTATGGGGTTTCCCATTGGCGGACAGCACAGAGAAAGGGTTCCTGGCTGGCCAGGTGATGTCATCTTCTTCTGCTCAGTGCACTGCGTCCTGAGATGTCCAAGTTTTCCACAGGTGTAACAGCTGTGGTTGTCAGTAAGGGATGGCTTGGCACCAAGAACTGCAGGTGCCAGTCGCTGAGGAACTTGGTTTGCAGGCAGAAGAGAGGTTGCCAAGGGTGATTTCCCACCTATCTAGCCATTAAGAACAGCTTAGCGATGGTCAGATACCCAAGTGTTGAAATAGGTATCTGTCAGTTCGGCTGCTGCTTTGGCAGAAGCTGGTCTCTTCTCCAACACAAAATGCAGGACAGAGGTTAAGCAGCTGATCCTGAACCATGAGATCCTCCAGGGACTCAAAGGACTTGGCTTTCAAGTCTCTTGTCCACTGCCAGAATGTGGTGCTTAGGCGACTTACTACATCCATGTACAAGTCCCCAGGTCCCTTTTGGAAGTACCCAATTTAGTTTTGGTACACTTCCGGGGTTAGTTGATGCTTTCGGATGATTAAGTCCTTTATGGCCTCATAATTGTCATCCTTTTCCGCTAGCAATTTTTACATAAGCATCCAGGGCCTTGCCTGCCCTGGTGTCAGGTACCAAGCCCAATGTGTTTGGGGCAGATGGTACTGACAGCATGTTTTTTCAAACGACAGAAGATACACTACAATGTCACTGTCCTTTTCCATTGCTGGAAATTTTGCTGTCGGGCCCACAGACAGAGAGGCGTCCCTGTGCTCTTAGAGACCCGAGGTTCTGAGCCTGTTGCTGCTAGAGCCTAGCCATCTCCAGTGTGCATCAGCAATCAGCCTCCCTCTGTGCAGCCTCTCTTTTAGCTGCAACCTGGCATTTATCTCTCTCAGCCACAGCCTGGCATTTCTTTCTCAGCCTGGCATTTTTCTCTCAACCACAGCCTGGCACTCGACAAACTGTAGGTGTGCCAGAGGATCCGTCTTCCTGATGCGTTGTAATACTTTTTGCATTTGAGGAAAGTCTATGTTGGTTACAGGCACGCTGGTGCTGGCCTGCTCATGCTGTGGCTTGGAGGTGACAGTCATTGATACTCCAGTGTCAGTCTCTGTTTGCCCATCCTGCGAGGCTGTATCTGAACCACTGGGTTCTGAGGTAGTGGGAACCCCTTTGTTTCTAGGTTCCCCTGGGTTCTGGTCTGCCTGGACATCATTCTCCTGTAGGGCATGAATCAGACTTTCACAATTCTTGCCGCCAACGTCAATTCCTCATTTCACACTTAGCACATAAATAATTTTTGCTCATTATCTTGTACTCTGCTAAACCAGGCATGTTTGCAAAAATTAAGAGATAGAACAGAACGCAGAGATAGGAAGGAGCTGTTGCTGTATGCCCCTTTAAATAAGAAAAAAAAAAAAATGCTCCGCCTTGTATCTAAGGACGGTTTCCACAAAGGTTACAATCCTTCAGTACAGAGCTAATTCCTAACGCTGCACTGAATGCTGTAATGAAGAACTCTCCCACGTACACTTGCTGCCAATATGTGACGAATGCAGGTGTCCGACATTTCTCCTCTTCACCGAAGAGGAGGTCAATCTCACACCACACAGTCACTTACGCAACAATGGCACTCTCAGCTCCACACTGCGCAAAGATTTTCCAGCTTGCGGGACTACAGTCTAGGTGCCAACAGACAGAGCGATTGTTACTGGGTTTAGTTAATTAAGCAATTAACCCTTTAAACTGCCACCACTACTTTTTTACCGAGAAGGAGAAAACTCACAATCTTTGCAATAACTATGATTTTAGAATACATGTCAGTAACACACACTGTCACCACAGACAGGTATGTTCAGAGATTTATACTACAGTAGCGCTCTTCAAGAGACAGGGATTCCTTTAGTTCTCATTAAAAGAGTTAGAGACAATTTCAATACTTTTCAAAAAAGGATTTAATATTTTATTTGCACCATTTTGACCTTTTCATTAACAGAAAAAGGTGTTGCAAAGAAACAAAGCAACATAGATATAAAAAGGAGTTGAAAATGAAGAATACTTGCAAATCCTGGTTTCAGCAAAGTCCAGTGCATAAGCAAAAACGGTACAGTGGCTCTCACAGGTGCTGTTAGGTGTTCCTTGGTTTGATGTTAAAACAAGAGCAGTCAATGTGCCCTGGCAGTCCCCTTTTCTGTGGTATCAAAGGGGTGTTGACAGAGGTCATCTAACCAATTAAGATTCTAAAGGATAGTTGCTGGGATGTCACCACATTTATGATCAAGTCCCATATGCAGTTTTCTATAAGTATTCATAGCTCTGATTATCTGCAGGGTACAGTCGGCTACCCTGCATTTTATTGTCCAGCATGAAATTAGCTTTGAAATGTCTCAGATATCTATTTCTCATAGGAGAGATGTGGGTGCCTAATCTGCTCTGGTACCTCCTAGCTACCAAATAACTGATGAAGGGGAATTTAACTGTATTCTGGCTATACAGTTATAATTTCAGAAGTTATGAAATATAGTGGGATGATGATGGTGTCTATTAAGAGACAGATATGTGTGTTCTACAGACTTCCAACAGAGGTATTTATGATCCAGTGTCTGTTAAAAGTCACCGCAGCAGCTAAGTCAGACACGTTTATGGACCCTCAGATGTATATTGGGGATTAGACTCTGCTAGTCCTATTAACAGATGGATAAGAGGTGTCTGGCATCAGTTAATGGTTGTGTATTGTATAAACTGAAGGAAGGAGGGAGGAAAGGTCTCTGTGGCTATGCCTTCTTATGACAAAATGGTAAGGGAGACTTGTGCCGTGAACAAATTGGCTGCTACACACACAGCTATTAGGGTTCCAGGTACACATGACCATTACAGTAAGGTCTCAGGTACTCACAAACCCAGCCAGCTGGTGGCCAAAGAAGGCAGCAGGAAAAGACCAGAAATCCTAATTTCACATGACAGTTTTGCAAAGCAGGAGCAGCAGTGGAGCAATGCTTCCTCTATGACGAATGGAAAAGAATGCATCAAGCCCATGTGTGCAGGAATCTTGGTTGAAAAATAAAGTTTGAAGAAGAATTGAAGAAAAAACTAGTTCAACATTTCCCAGAAACACTGCAGAAAAGGCATATATCCTCCTAGCACAATAGCAAAAAAAAACAGAGGCATGATAGTTAAATGAGGGATTATCCTGGTTGGGCTACAGATTTTTTTTGCCAGTGTCCAATCCTCCTGTAGGCAATAGTGTAACCCAGCAGTATAAGGCTGAATCACCAAATGGACAAGAAAGAAATAGAGATTCTTTTACATTGTGACTTTTTCACAGAACGAGTCAAGGCAGCATTGATTTTCAGGTTAGCATGCACACAGCATCTGGACATCTATCCAGACCAGCACAAATGCAGCACCAAATCAGTTGCCTCTTCACCACTGGTTCCTATTGTAATAACAGGTAGTGGTTTGGTGCCAGGGACAGGCGAGTTTTGCAGACAGGGAGACAGTTCAATTAATGGTAAAGGCTTAAGCAAACTCCACCAATATCCTCTGCTGGTGGTCCCCTGGTCTCCTTCACTGTAATGCGGTGAGGCAACCCATCACACTGCACACTGGCAGTAAGCAATTCCTCTCAGCAGTTCACATTTACAATAATTTGGCAGGAGAATGGTATGAGAGAAGTAAAATAATCAGTTACTATGGACAAGCTATTGTTGGTACAAGAATAATATAATAATTGCTTTTTTTCTGAGGAGTAGCTTTAAATTTCCCCGTTAAATCAATTTAGTTCTTTTGCACACCAGATGCATGGAAGAAATGCACTATCTAGTCAAATAAAGGTGCATTTGATGGTTTGTTTGACCAGCTAAACATTTTTCGTTTCAAAATGCTACCAACAGATCTTGAGGTCTCTGATACACAGCACTAAAAACACAAAGATAATAAATGCTGAAAGTGATGCATTTGCGTCTTTACAGTACAGAGGAGGCAAAAAAAAAAACTGGAGGGAGGGAAAAAGAGTCATTTCTAAATATTTGCTGTCATTGCCTATTGAGCCTAAAATCATATGAGCATACTGTATTCTTTGTTTAACCTTGTCATTTTCATAGAGATTTTTCAGCTATGTATTTTTTGTGTAGAATGTTATTCCTTGCCTGGTCAGATTCAGTGAAAAACCAGAGCATCATTCCAAAGACAGCAGGGTAGACCAATGATGATGTGTAGTATCCTAGCCATGAGAAATACATGGCAATCTTCACGCCAAAATACTCACAGATTTCATCTGTACAGAAAAAAAAAAAACATATATTACACAACATACCACTAAACAGTACACTTTTTAAAAAGAGCAAATTAAAGGAGATCTATAGTCGCAATCTACATTTTCACTTTATACCATTAGCATTATATTAGCAATACAAATGTAGTTGTTATTGACAATACATTATAAGCTTACTTGAAAAATCTCCTTTCATGTTGTGAGTGCTGCCTGTCTGCTCTGGTATCTAGCCGTCTGCAAGCAGTAATTCCTAAACTGACTTTGCCTCCTGAAATTCCTCCTCTCAGCACCCATGTAGTTCAGAAGGTAGCAGTGCCTACTCCCAGGGCAATAGTGAATGTGTGTCATAGAATACAAGGAAGTAAATGTGTGGAGATCTTCAGCAAGTCATTTTACCAAAATCAGGTTTATTCAGATTAACAGAATTAGGCTAAAACTCATTGAAATACAATGTGGAAATAATTATATGATTTTACATTTTGACCATAGATATGCTTTAATGAACTCTAAAAGGTCACGGACTAGAAACACAGGGTGATCCAGGATATGATTTTTATAGCATAATAAATTCAACACCTCCTGCAATTAAATAGGTGTCATTGTTCATTTATATTCTTTAGCCTTGCATAATCTATTGTTTCTTGCAAGTATTAGCTTGTCTTTCAAATGCATTGGATATATTCAACAAACATGCATTTTCTAAAAATGCCTCAATGAGTCAACAGTAGTTTAAGTATGTCAAGCCCTAACTTTTTTTGTTTTGGATAGGGTGCAGAAGGATTACAACACTTATCTGGTTTTTTTTTTAAGCTATCCGGAAGCTCCATTATAGATATTTCCACTCACTTCCTGCCCCAGTAAAAGTTTTACTTGGTAGAATGTGAGGGGATAAATTTGCAACAAGGACACATACATCAATAAAAAGCTGACAGTAGTTCTAGATTTCCTCTACTTTACTAAGAAGAAGAAAAAAAAAACATGGTGGACCTATTAGGGTTCTAATCCATCTCTATTATATCCATAACTAAAAAGGAGAATGAGTCTGGACATACACTTTAGGCAGAACAAACATTGATACGGTGATTGATGCTACTACTATGTTATACTGTAAAATGCTATACATACTTTAATTATATATCATGTCTGAGGTTTACAACCACTTTAAAGCATATTCCTCTATAGTGTGTACTAGTCTCAGTCCAGACCACTAAGTGTCATTTATTTTGTCTGCTACATTGTTCCTCTGCCATCAGCATGAGCCACTTGTGAGTTTTCCTAACACCAAGATCATAATGGTAACAGGAGAGGGAGCTCCAGCAGATTAACAGCCTCAGCTCTGTTCCTGTGTGCTGTGTGAAGGGGGTTTTTCCCTTCCCTCCAATCAGCTCTCAGAGCTCCCTTCACTGAGTGTAATTTCAGCTTCCCACCCCCTGCTTTTCAGATTTGAAAAATTCAGTATAAATTCTGTTCTTTGAAAGGATGCAGGAGACAGACGCTTTAGATAAACAGGTACAACGTATGTAAAGAGTATTTGTTTAATTTCTGTGTATCACCTGAGGCCAGTCATTTCACTGGGTATATGTAACTGATGAAGGCAATTTAAAGTGGAACTTAACGCATAACAATTCGATTAAAAATTATGTTTTTTAGCAAGAAACATATATTCGACAATAATAATTATGTTACTAAAATTAGTGTGTATTGCAAATTGCCTCCAGCATTGTTCCTGTGTCTTCTTGCTGGAGGGTGCCATTTTACTGACGCTGAGAGCTCTGAGCAGCAGTAAATTGGGCTGTCAGCAGATCGACCTCTACAAATTTGGCACAGTGCCTAAAAATAGAGAGCAACTGAGCATGTGCAGAGCAGGGGGAGACAGTGTATTACTGGATTTTAAACAGTATAGGCATTTATTTTTAATATCTTACAAAGCTATACCTGCAAAAAAGGGACAGCCTGAAGTGATCTAGCAGGATTTAATTTTCTGACTAAAGTTCCACTTTAAAAACACATTCTGTGAAACCTATAAAGAGTGTTGCAAATACTCAATAGAAATTTGTCTTGAAGTAACAAGACAAATGGCCAAATTTGTCTTGCATGTAAAGCACAATTTACTCCAACATGGAAGAGGTCATATTTACCTACAATTTACTTACTTCCATTACACATATGCCTCATTGAATCACCCTCATTATCTCCTACAGCCTGGCTATATACAGTATATATTGTTGGATTGGGGTGATTAAACTTAAGCGATAGGTGTGTCTACAATGAGTTGTGCCAGTCCAAAACTGTATTTTAGGGCATGGCAGCCCATTTTTACTCAATAAACAAAGTTCACATGCACAGCCGTTGGCCATGCAGGGGTTTCTTCCAGAAATATGAACAAATGCCACCTGCCTGATGGGTTGGCAGCACCGCTGCTTCTCTTACCAGGATGCTTGGCTCACTAGCCTTTAATTGTAGTGCCCTGCTGTATGGCCCACCTCTGGGATTCTCCTGACACCCCAATAGGAGCCAACCTGACTCCTGCAACTAAGACCTGCTGTCTCCTGGCTTATGGCTAGGGCACCTCTGACCCCTGGTTGAGACCCTCTAACTCCTGGCTCCTGACAGGGTTTCCCTGACCCCAGGTTGAGACCTTCCGTCTACCACACTGACAGCAGTCTCCAAACTGGCCACAGCACTGAGCTTTTCCTTTATCTCTATATATAGCCATAACCTCCTTTCTTTTCTTGTACTTTGGAAACCATCATCATGGGTTCCGTCAATCTGTTTTCCGTCTCTAGGCAGTCTTCCAAACATGAGCTGATCTGGGCAACAAGTGCAACAAACATATCAAAAAAGTTATACCAGATATCATAAAATGGACTCAGCTAACGAAGCCTGGGCAGACGCCACCTTTACTCAGCTTTTCATCCCTGTGTTTTTGTTTGGGAACACACACTTTCTTAAATTTTTACAGACATTGGGTGCTGTGTAGATCTACAGTAAGTGAAATCATAATGTATGGCTCTTGGCACTAAATCAAACAGATATGTGGAGCGGCATAGCATGTTATCACAAATAAGCACTTAGGCCGCATGAAGTGTTGCTCATAAATGTGCGTTAAAAAGCTTTTGGCATTTTTTTTTGGCCAAATCCCTGAACTCAACTCAATAAAAGCCTTCCATGCACACAGACTTTTATCAGAGTTTAACAGCAGCAGAGTTTAGGGCCAGTTAAATGTCCCTCTCCTTAACACATAAAAATCGCATTCAGGAGAGGAACGTTTTGGCCAAAGAATACTAAATGCGGCAAAAACACATGTAAACGAGTTCAGCGCTTGGGCATTTATTAATTTTAATGGCAAGTACTTTGGCCAATGAAATGAATAAACCTCCAAGCACAGTGTACATGGAGCCTTATCCATTCAAATAAATCAAAAGCTAGCAATGGTAATTTCCTGTTTCACTATTTTGTAGCATACATAAAATCATTTAACGGAGTTTCGCATTACCACAATGACACTTATTACGAACAACCAGTTAGTATTGGTAAACAAAAGGTTTCTTTGTACAAGGAATAGAACCATCTTTGTTGTAAGTTGTATATACGAGACGCTTGCAAACTGAATAAATATGCATTTATCACAAAGAGTAGTTGTTTATTGTATTTCTTTCTTAATAGAAGCTCTTATATCTAGTTGCTTTTTACCAGCACTGACAGTTATGCCTTCTTTTCTAAAACATATTTAAAATCAGTAGGAGAGCCCTATTTTGCATGTTATCTATTGCATTAGTACAGCTGTTGTTCTTAGAGCATATTATGTATATTTCATTGCAGTGATATACAGTATATGTCACTTAACTGACATCAATATATTAAGAATTATCACTACTCTTTAAAGATCATACATTTTGACCATACTCCTGTGTCACAGGAGCTCACTTAGTTCTGCACTCCTGTGACCCAGATTCAGCCTACAGTGGACTAAAGCCCGCTGTTGCATGAAGTCACAGAGCCAGTCCAGGCTCTGCCAGGATCCCAACAATAATTTCAAGATCTGCCCAGATGCCTGGCAGGGAGCTGGCTCAGCTTCTCAGTGTGCTGTGAGTCTGAGCACTCCGACAGTGTACCCCTACTCATTCCCCAAAAAGTAGTAAAAACGTAACAAAAAAAAATTAAAATTAAAAATTGTCCTCCGATGTAGATCCAATATCAATCGCTATGAATGGATCACTCATGTTTACTGGTTGTTAAAGCGAAACTTCACTTTCCCAATCATCACTGAATTTTTGTAATCCTCATGCTGCTAGCATTATTAAATAGATAAGTAACTATGATATACTTTCCTGTTTTAAACTTTTTTTTTACATTTCTTCAGTTACTTCCTGGTTTCAATGCTTAGGCAAATGATATCTTCTGGAGGGGGGGAGGAGGTGTTTTTTTTAGCTAAAGTATGGATTCCAGGAAGTAAATGCTACTGCCCTTCTTCAAGATGGCTGCAGCCAGAAATGCCAGAGGGTGTTTTCAAAGTGATTTGTCAGCAAAACACAGTATGGAGACTTGGATGGATGGGTGGATTTGCTCTGAGTATTAAACATGAATTAAACTGTTATTTGTTTTGTGGTGGTCGGATGCAGTGTAGTTCCACTTTAAGGATGCCAGAAGCTGCCAGCTCCTTAACCACTTCAAGTCCGGACACTTTTACCCCCTTCCTGTCCAGGCCAATTTTCAGTTTTCAGCGCTATCACACTTTGAATGACAATTGCACAGTCATACAACACTGTACCCATATGAATTTTTTAGCATTTTTTTGAGACAGATAAAGCTTTATTTTGGTGGTATTTATTCACCACAGGGATTTTTATTTTTTTGCTATGTAAATGAAAAAGTCCAAAAATTAAAAGAAAAAAGTGTTTTTCTTTTTTCATTTTTGCAAATAATATTTCATCATAAATCTTGGCCAAAAGTTATTCCATTATCTTTTTTTAGTAAAAAAACAAAAAACAAAAAACAACCCAAATGAGTTTATAACCAAAAATAATTTTTAAACATTTTTTTTTTACATTTTTATTTTATTTTTTTTTTTATATTATTTATGTTGTTTTGCTTTTTTTTACATATGGTCACCCTAGCAGTACAGTGTCACCATGGTGACACTGTACTACTTGTGGGGGGTGACGTTTTTTTTTTTTTTTTTTTTTTTACACTGATTGCTTTTACACCCATATAGGCTGTAAAAGCAATAATTTCTCCTCTCTCGCTGCATTCTTGCAGCCATTGAGAACTACTGTGTGAGCTGTGATTAGTCACGGTTGTGAATAGCCTTGTACCATGTGACCTCTGATCATTCACAGATTTCACACGTAGTAAGCAATGATGTCAGAAGTGACATCTTGCTTACTACTCTGCATGTGATCACCGATTGGCCAATCAATGATCACATTTCATTCCGCTAAGGGTTTGCTCTTAATCGTTACAATTAAGCCTTTTCTACAGTATATCATGTCAGAGGGAGGAGTCTGGCTGGGCAAAAGAAGGCAATTAACACAAACATTTTAAATTTTATACTTTATTTTCTCTCAGTCATCCCACTGTTCACACACACCTTACTTGGTACCTCACCCTACCTATATGAAGAATGTTCCTGCATAAAGCCATAAAATCTAGATCTTCTTAGTATGTTCTATTCACTATACACAAACTTCACTATAGAGGTGCACTATTCTATACCTCATACTGGAACTTTAAAAAGTCAGATTAGACTGACATTCATACATACAGTGGATATAAAAGTCTACACACCCCTGTTAAAATGTCAGGTTTCTGTGATGTAAAAAAATTAGACAAAAGATAAATCATTTCAGAACTTTTTCCACCTTTAATGTGACCTATAAACTGTACAACTCAATTGGAAAACAAGCTGAAATCTTTTTTTTGGGGGGGAGTAAACATTAAAAAACTAAAATAATGTGTTTGCATGAGTCTGCACACCCTCTTATAACTGGGGATTTAGCTGTGTTCAGAATTAAGCAATCACATTCAAAATCATGTTAAATAGGAGTCAGTACACACCTGCCATCATTTAAAGCGCCTCTGATTAACCCCAAATAAAGTTCAGCTGTTCTAGTAGGTCTTTCCTGACATTTTCTTAGTCGCATCCTACAGCAAAAGCCATGGTCCACAGAGAGCTTCCAAAGCATCAGAGGGATCTCACTGTTAAAAGGTATCAGTCAGGAGAAGGGTACAAAAGAATTTCCAAGGCATTAGATATACCATGGAACGCAGTGAAGACAATCATCATCAAGTAGAGAAAATATGACACAACAGTGACATTACTGAGAACTGGAAGACCCACCAAAATTGATGAAAAGACGAGAAGAAAACTGGTCTGGGAGGCTGCCAAGAGGCCTACAGCAACATTAAAGCAGCTGCAGGAATATCTGGCAAGTACTGGCTCTGTGGTACATGTGACAACAATCTCCTGTATCCTTCCTATGTCTGGGCTATGGGGTAGAGTGGCAAGACGGAAGCCTTTTCTTATGAAGAAATACATCCAAGCCCGGCTAAATTTTGCAAAACCACATCTGAAGTCTCCCAGAAGTATGTTCGAAAATGTGTTATGGTCTGATGAAACCAAGGTTGAACTTTGTGTGCATAATTCCAAAAAGATATGTTTGGCGCAAAAACGACACTGCACATCACGAACAGAACACCATACCCACAGTGAAGCATGGTGGTGGCAGCATCATGCTTTGGGGCTGTTTTTCTTCAGCTGGAACTGGGGCCTTAGCCAAGGTAGAGGGAATTATGAACAGTTCCATATACCAGTCAATATTGGCACAAAACCTTCAGGCTTCTGCTAGAAAGCTGAACATGAAGAGGAACATCATCTTTCAGCATGACAATGACCCAAAGCATACATACAAATCAACAAAGGAATGGCTTCACCAGAAGAAGTTAAAAGTTTTGGAATGGCCCAGCTAGAGCCCAGACCTGAATCCGATCGATCGAAAATCTGTGGGGTGATCTGAAGAGGGCAGTGCACAGAAGATGCCCTCACAATCTGACAGATTTGGAGAGTTTTTGCAAAGGAGAGTGGGCAAATATTGCCAAGTCAAGATGTGCCATGATGATAAACTCCTACCCAAAAAGACTGAGCCCTGTAATAGAAATCAAAAGGTGCTTCAACAAAGTATTAGTTTAAGGGTGTGCACACTTATTTTTACTTCTTTCCGCCTAAAAGATTTCAGTTTGTTGTTCAGCTGAGTTGTACAGTTTATAGGTTACATTAAAAGGTGGAAAAAGTTCTTAAATTATTTATCTTTGTCTCATTTTTTTACATCACTGAAACCTGACATTTTAACAGAAATGTATAGATTTTTATATCCACTGTAGGTACCATGCATCTCATAAACACATGCTCTACATTGCTGCAAGATTCATAGAGATTCTTTTAGTATTAATACATACTTCCAGGAAACTCAGTGCTTTGTTTTTTTATTTTTACCTCTAAGGACACTATGGGGTTGATTTACTAAAGGCAAATAGACTACAGTATGCACTTTGTAAGTGCAGTGGCACTTATTTTCATCAGACCTTAGATTGCAAAGATTACCCAATCAGGAGCAAGGAAAATGAAAAAACAAAACAAAAAAAACAACAGCATTTATGCTTGCACATGATTGGATGATCAATGGAGCTTCACCACATTCACTAAGCTTTGAAAAGTAGTGCAATTGTACTCACAAAGTGCACAGTCTATTTGCCTGTAGTAAATCAACCGCTATTATGATAATTTTGTGCCATCTTCAACTCATTAGTCCCAAGACTTTTGATCACTACCACAAAATGAATTTCCAATGGAAAGCACATTCACCCTCTACTCCATGTATATTCTTAGAGAAGCACAAGGTATTTGATTACCCAGGGGTTGTCTCTCGCATACTGCTTGGACCCAGGATTTCATAAGCCGGCTCAGAATCTTCTGTTCATGAACAGGAAACACACCTGCTGGATAACTCCACGGGCTGCTAGTTCTGGGACTGTGGAATAAAGGAGAGATGTACTAAATTAGTACATCAAAATTTATTTAGAAATGTGGGGGTGGGGAACTGAAGAAAAAAATGTGCATATTAAATTGCTGGCCGCATGAGTAAATATTTCTTTAACAAGACAACATGCAATATATGAATGTTTTACAAACAGTGTTTTCCCTCTAACTGAAATAATTGCTTCTTTTGCAAAAAAAAGTATAGTATCAAAATTCCTCTGGTCTACATTGTATAAGAGGGATGCCACTTGAATAGACATTGGGGTTGATTTACTAAAACTCATGAGTGCAAAATCTGGTGCAGCTGTGCATGATAGCCAGTCAGTTTCTAACTTCAGCTTGCTCAATTAAGCTTAAAACCTGGAAGTTCATTGGTTTCTCCAGATTTTGCTCTCTCCAGTTTAGGTAAATCAATCCCTAAATCTCCTTGTTCATGCAGGACAAAGTAAACATTTGTGTAAAAACCTTCATCACCCTGACCTACCTGTATTTATCTTACCTGTGACCACCTATATCCCCCTGCTAGTGATTTCTCACCCGTGACAGTGCTATGGTCTAGAAGCCAATCACTAGGCCTAAGCACTGCATATGACAAGGGCAATGGTATCATCCATTCTCTGGGCCGACGCCAGTCATTTCAAAGTTGGCTGTTGAGGAGGAAGGAGAATTGAGGGACCACTGGTAAAGCCAATATTTGTGACACCTTTACAGAAACACAATCACCTTGCCCTGCATGGGCAGGTGTCTCTTTTAATATCAGACTTATTTTTTATATACTTGAAACATATTTGCCAACATTTCTTATTTTCTTACAAGTTTTGTTATCTTTGTTTTGCTCTTTTGTAGTTTTTTTCTTCACATCCTTCTAGCCATACATATTTTTCTTTTCTTTCTTTCATACTTCTTTCATAGTAAAGTAATTCACTCACTTATTTGCAAACACGACTGCTAAAAATTTATTTTAACCTGACTATAACTGAAAGTCAAAAAGGTAGCCTGAGGAAGATGGGACAAAACTAATTAAGCGATATTTAACCCTAATGCTTAAACAATTTCAGTAGCTGATATAATCATTTACTGAGTACGCAGCTTCTTTATCTTTTAATCCTTGCTTGTGCTCCTGTTTAAACTGGTGTCATGTCCAGTGTTCAAGGTTTCCTGTTCCAGTGGCTCCTTTCTGTTACAGCATGCTATGGAGCCATGCTTGCATGCAGGGATTAGAGTGGTGTCTCCCTACACTGTATGTATCAATAGAAACACAGCACTGTAGCCTAGGATAACGAGGCACTAATCTGCTCTGTCCTCCTCCAAACTGTCTGGAGACTGCACTGTCCACTGTAAATGCTTTCTGTGAAGTTCTGGGAAGCAACAATAATGGAACAAGAGCAGGTAATATTATACACTGTTCTGAGGTAAGAATTTAAAAAAATAGTTTACTCTGGAATGTTTATTTTATTGTGCTCAATGTGCTAAACTAAAAACACTTAGGTTTAATACTACTTTAAGACTAAGTTGCACTTAAAGGCAGTAGGTACCCTTGACTTGTAGCTTTTAGCGTGCAATATGCCTGGCTGTCAAATGCACACCTGGAGAAGAGGCCCTCTGGGGAGCAAGCAAGATAGCATGGAACAGTGTAACAATGAAGATATGGTACAGCCGATATCCCTTTTCTGCTTGGGAACATAAAGTGAAGCCATAATTTGTGGCCTGAGCCATTTAGCTCAACATAAAAGCATACCAAGTACCTTCTTACTGACAATCTGTATTATTATTTTTGCCCTTTTTTTATTACGCAGGCCTATTCCTATTAGGGAGATTTTCACTCACTTCCTGTTCTGGTAATTACCTGACCAGGCCAAGAGCAGAGGAGAAATCTCCTCAGTGGGGGGTGGGGACAGACACTAATAAAACCTGATAGAAATTCTAGCCCTCCCATGCTATCCTAAAAATAGGTAGCATTCTAATTAAAATCAGAAAATTATTGTAAATCTATTATTATAAAATGTGACTCTACACAAAGTTCCTGTAGTAAATATAAGCCACTGAAGTATGTACTATAAAGTTTGTAAAGCACAATTTTAGAAAGAATGCTGTACAAAAATGTCTTATAAAACAGCTGTAAACATTTTACAGATATATCAGTGATCTTGTTTCATGTTGATAGCTATGAAGTACTCACTGATTGGCTGGCCTTCTAGGAAGTGTATGTTGTGCAGAGATTCTCCATGTTTAGCTCGGAGGTTTTCCATCCAGTATCGGATGATGCTCTGACGTTCCTATAAAACAAATCACATATAGTACTTTATTATTAGGTATCCTACAAATGACCTGCTATGCATCAATGACTAAGAAGCAAGGTAAATTTTCATATAGAGCATGCCAGCAGAAAAACAGGATGTGAAATAGAACTAATTGTTTACTGCTGGCCATACGCAAACATGTTTTCACTAAGTGGAGGGAAGGAATCTATTAACAACATTCATACAAATTTAATTCATTGGGCAAATTGTACAACTGTTCATCCAAGATTCAAGCACTACAGGCTGTGGGCAGATGTATTTCTTTGACCTGTCATTCAGGGAGAACTCTGCTCACCTAACCTTGCTCATCGCTGTGAATTTTTTCTAGAACATAAAGTTATCCATGTTACCATCAATAAGAGTTACAATTTTACATAAATAAATACATGCTGTGATCAGTCCCTACTGTTTCACTCACTCAAGGCTGAGAATGAGTTCACTACATCTCTAATATAATATTGAATTTCAAATAATCTATAGCTCTAAAATAGAAGTGGGTTCCTACGCTGAGCTTTACATTTGGGAAGCAGGATCTGTGGCAGACTGGATATTATTTCCTATATGCCAGTCTTCCACAGAACCATTCAATTCCCATCATCAGCTTCAGGAACCTCTACTAAAAAGTAGAACACCATTATCACAAGCAGTGGATAAGTCCCTATCTGACAGATTCTCTTCATGCAGTTTATGCCTCTAATCCATACAGATTTCAGGTGAGCACCTTACTGGGATTCTGGAGCTCTGAAACCAAAAGGGTTCAGATCTGATTGCCCCCAGTTTCATTCAACTCTGAGGAGTTTGGTAAACTCCTATTCACCTATAGCCCCCCCCCCCCCCCCACTATCTATCTGGATTCTCACAGTCCCGTTGATATCAGTGAGAGGAATAGTGCTCCATCATTGGTGTTAAGGGCTCCATTGTTGATGTCAGTTGGAGGAACGGAGCTCATCACTGGTGTCCAAGAGAAGAATAGCGCCCCAGGGTTGGTGTCAGTGGGAAGAATAGTGCCCCATGTTGGTGTCACTAGGAGGAATTAAGCCCCACTGTTAATATTCGTGGGATGAATAGTGCCCCGAGGGCCAAATAAAGGCAAGCCATGGGCCGCATCTGGCCCCCCCAGGCTGCAGTTTGGAGACCCCTGCTCTAGTGGGAGAAATCTCTGCAGTGCGGAGCTGCACAGGATAAAAAAAAAAAAAAAGGAGGCTTAAGCCACACTCTAAAAAATAACTCAAGCGACCTGTTACCACCACTTAATTAAATGTGTATTTCCAAGATAAAAATACTAATTTATTGGTTTTTCATTTAAAAACCTACTTTCATGAGTTGTGTTGAAATGATAATGTTGGAAATTACATCAACTTAATATTGTGTGTCATGTACAGTTACATTTCTGCATTCATTGTTGTACAATGAAATTTAAGTTAAGGTACCTTAATAAATTTGACTTGGTAACTTAATTTTGCTCTACATTGAGAGCTGCATTGCAAGTCTCCACCCCCATTCACTTAACACAAATCAAGTCTCAGTTGTTTCAAAAACTGTTCCTTGAACTTGATGGACTGAAAGCCAGTGCTAAAGTAATGGGTCTCAAGTACAGTATTCTCTGAAGAACGTATGTGTTCCATAGCACAGTCATACTCAGATGACATTTTTCACTTTTATTTCAGTTCACAAAATGGTTGTCGCAGGGTAATGCGGAAAGAATATAGCAAATTGTAAGAAAGCTCACAAAATATCAACTTTCAATATCCTCCAATAGCTTCACTATATTGCCACAATTTGTTGCACAATATAGCAAAGGTCTTGTAGAGAAACAGTTTCTGCACCAGACAGACAATATTAAAAAAAATCTTAATGCAAAGTGCTTACTCATTCATCAGTACAACTTTAAGGATTTGATTTTGGTGTGCAAAAAATGTCAATTGTTTAACAATTAGATTGTTGGGCCTTGGTTCACACAATGAAGTGCATGTGAATCACAAAGGAACGGCAACACATTCCTGTGCAATTCACATGTGGTTCAGTGTAATGCAATTTGAGCCCATTCATTTTGAATGAGCTCAAATCACACCACATCGCACCAAAGACATGCATGCACCAATTTTTGAACCACAGTGCAACCAGATTGCATGTTTTGTTTTGTACCATGCAATCTGGTGCCAGCAAATGCACTGTGTTTGCAACACTGACATCCACTGCAGACTGCAAGGGTAGTGCGATTTGAATGCGGTGCGCGAAATGCACACAGATTGCGGGGTTTCTGCAACACATTCTAGTGTAAGCCTAAACTGATTAATTCATTTTTGAAAGCTAGTATAAAAAAAACAAAGCTAAAAACTAATACAGAAAATCAATTTGGATCAACTTGATTTTTAACTGCTTTTCAACTTTAAAAAACTTGCTCATAATTGTAGCAATTAAGTACACGTGACTTGAAGGTTTCTTATAAAAACTGGAAAAACTATTTGAATTAACTTAATATGTTTAAGTACTCAACTTAAAAACATGTGTTTATAATGCCAGTAATTAAGTTGGCGGTAAATAAAAATGCATTCATTTCTATCAGAAAAGCTAATTACCTCAATGCAATGTAGTTTGTTGCTTCAACTTAATTTCACCAGACATTGTCATAACTTAAAAAGCTTGATGCAAACTGTTGCGTTAATTTTTTTTGTTGAGCCAAAACATTATTTTTTAGAGTGCACTTCAGCTCTTGTACCAGTTAAGGACCAGAGCAATTTTTGCCTTTCCATTATATGCTTTTTGTTTTGGTAATAATTTTCTGATAATGAAGCAATGCATATATCTTTTTTTCTGGAAACACTTTGGTTTGATGGTCTCACAAAAATCATTTTATTTTATACACAATCTAAAGGCAAAAGACACAAAAGAATTCTATGGCCATGGCATACACTTTCATTTTAGAACTTTAACATTATAATAGCAATACAAATAATAGTTATTACTGACAATCCAATATAAGCTTATTGAAAGAGTTCTACCTGTCTGCTGGTCATCTCTTTTCACAACTTTCTGGATTCCCAGCATGCTTTGCAGCTTCTCCTCTGTGGTTTTCTTTCAATTTCTAAGGACTACATATCTCATTGTACCTTGTTACCTGCAAACAGTGATTCCTGTACTGACTCCTCCTCCTGAAACTACTCCTCTCAGCACTTCTGTAGTTCAGAAGGCAGGCTCTGTGAAATGTGACACACAGCAGAGCCTACTCACAGGGCATAGTGAATGCATGTCACAGAACTCAATAAAGTAGATGTGTGGGGGTCTTCACAAAGTTTACAAACTTCAAGATTGTTCAGATTAATAGGAGTAGGCTAGAAATAATTGAACTGTAATGTGGAAATAAATATATGATTTTACATTTTGACCATTCTGACCTTAGATATGCTTTAACAAAACTAAAAAATTGTGCTTTTTATTCTACTCTGACCAGTGTTCTTTTCAAAGCAACTAGCATCACTGTAGATAAAAGTATGACATGACACCTAGGGCTCCTTCACTTTTTTACAGTGCATAACACATAGCACAAAATGCATATGCTGGCGTGCAATGTGAATGTGTGCTGCCAGTGCTGCAATGTGTTGTGCCAGCACATGGCATTGCTTGTTTTTTATTTCAGATGCGTCAAACCAGAGGTTTGACTCCAAAGCTCTACAGACGTACTTTTCACAACTGTACAGTTTGGTTTCTGTGCTGCTCTTGCAAACTGCAGGACAAAGCTCTTGCTGATATGCACATTTTCACAATATTATTAATTGTATCTGTCATTGCTAGAACCATTTATGAATTATAAAGAGATGAAATGTACTCAAGTGGCATATTCATTAAGGCATCATAACAGCAATGATGATACTGGAAGTGCAGTAACCCATAGCATCCAATTAAACTTAGTTGCACTGCAGTCAGATCAGTAAGATGATTCCTGATTTGTTTATATGGGTTACAGCTCTTTCATTAAAAGGATAAAATGTTTCTATGAGATAAATACAAAAAGTGATTATAGCACACCCCAATTATTTCTTGTATATTATACAAGAGGTAAAATTACCTGAGATGTGAAAAAGTTCAGCTCATTTTCAATGTTCTGATAAATATAGTCCTCTTCACAGGAAAAAGCACGCGTTCCACCCCCAAACTCAGCTTTAACGTTTTTACGTAGACCAATCTCCTCCGCACCGCGGAGCAAACTGCAAAAGGTAAAACGGGGGAAAAAAAAAAAGACACTTACTGACACAGTACTATGGAGAAACATATGTACATGTAAGTTTTAGTATAATAATAGAATAAAGCAAATAAAATAATTCAATAAAAAAATAATTGAATAATGTTGTAAACAAATCATGTCAAACTGAAACATAAGAAATGGAATATATGTAGAAATGGGATTGGTGTGGTCATTATTCTTGTAGAAAAAGTGATAAACTGGGAGGTGTGTACAGGAGAAAGGAAAATTACAAAACCTGCAACTTAAAGAACAAGCATTTGATTTACCAGGTTTCTATTTTGCAAATAAAAGATGCAAACTACTTTTCAAATCAACCTCTTATGGCAGATGTCACAGATAGTGGAAATCAGAAAGATACTGGAGCCAGCACAGATGCCAATAAAATTATTGGAACGGCTAATTGTATCCAAGCTGTCTCCTTTATAAATTCAATTACTTTTCCAAAGTAGCAACCCTCCTTGTGTACTGTTTTCCGGGTCCACGTGTGGCTCTAACAGTCCTGGAGATGCAGATGTCTTTATTCTGTCTGGCTCCATATTTCCTGCATGCCACTGCAAGCTGGCAGTAGTCACACAAAATTGAATAAACCCTGCATCCATTGACTCATAGACTTGAATGTGCTCTTCAGGGTGTAGAAGGTACTCTGCATGCATCATGTTTAAGATATGCAACACAAGAAAGTTCAACATAACTGAGATACTGGGGATAGCAGAACTAAGGCACCTCCCTTTCATTATCTCCATAGGGATGACCCATAACTTATATGCCAACTATTCTGTTTTTCATGGTTACCAGGGGACTTTATTTGCATATTGATGACTTGGGCAGGGCTTAGCAGGCATGCAATCATATGACACTATATTTGTACATATTACAGCATGTTCATGCAAATGCATATGGGATTTTTTACTTTAGCCATGTTTTAAAAAAAACAAAAAAAAAACAAAACACAAAACCCCATTATATATATATATATATATATATATACATATATATATATATAGATACACACACACACACATAATATACATAAGAATACACATAGATAGATAGATAGCTATAGATAGATAGATAGCTCTTTCACCTGTGTAAAATAAGAAAAAAAAAAAAACATAAGGGGCTATGATTCTTGAATTAAGGATATGTCCACCTTTTGTAACATGATATATGTTACACCCATATTCAGGATGTAACATGTTACTGTTACAACAGCCTCCACATCCCCCTGATGCCCCCTTGTAACAGCAGGCCAGGGATCCTCTCCCTCACCCGCTGTCTCAAGTATATCGGCCGCGTCATTTGTTCACAGAGTTTCGTGAATGGGAGAACTACAAGAACCAACAGCCTTTGTGGCTTTTGTAGTTCTCAATGAACTACCAAGGTGCTGTCGAGCTCTCTAGGTACTGTAGTTCATTGATACTTTCTGTAGCTGCCTGCCCATGCGAGGTACGAGCAGACAGATACACTGACAGTCTGCTGGAGCCTGAGATTGCACCCATCAATCTGCTGATCATGGGTGCAATGCTTTGCAGACTCCTAGTTAAAAAAAAAAAATAGATAGATAGATAGATAGATAGATAGATAGATAGATAGATAGAAATGCACATTGTTTACCTGCAACATTTTCTTTACAAATGTGAACTTATCCTTTAAAGCAGAACTAAACAGCCCACAAATTTTGAGACTCCAGGAGCTTGAACTATAATGTGCTCAGTGCCCACTGGGAAAGAAAAAAGCTGACAGGTAGGGAAAAACATTTCTGACAAAAAAAGGCATACAAAGTCTCTCCTGGCTTAAAAGTGCAAACCCTTATACAGTCTCTGAAAAGCGATCCACAGTGGACACACTATGCTAAATCTGCCATGGCCTTGTCACAAAGGATTGAGACCGTAGCATGTAAACAGCCCTCTTTAGTTGTATAGTTGGCTTTAGGAGGTTGGTCAAATCATAGCTCAGGCTCTGTTCATACCTGTGCATTTTCATGCACATTTACTGAAAAGCAACAGCACACAAGATAGCATTTCTCATTCTATTCTATATCCATTTATATCTATGCACTTTCCTTTTTGGAAAAGCTTCAGGTGTTTTTTTTTTTGTGAAGGATGGTGCAATTTTGAGTCAATAGGCTTCAATGAAAGCGCACATGCATTTTGGTGCATTTTTGAGTTGTTTTGTAGCATGACAGCAAAACACCACCAGCATCATCTACTCTACTGGCTGTACAGAACGAGCAAGTGAGAAGGCCACAGCATGGTTGACACAGAAGAGCTAATCCAGCTGATGAGGGCAAGACCTTCCTTCTTTGACCCATCTGACACCTACAAAGACTGCACCTATCTGTGAGAGAGGATGGGAGGACATTGTTACTTTTCCACACAGAAAGTAAGCAAACCTATGTTACTTTTGGAACAAAATGACACATCTGCATGCAAACGTGTTTTCTCTATTGTCACTATGCATTAAAAAAAAAAAAAAAAAAAAAAAACCTTTTATAGCTTGCCACTGGCCAAAACCAAAGAAACATGAAGCATGAAAACGCATTGCCAATGCATTAAATGTACATACAGTAGATGCATAGCACAAAGAAGCAGAAGTCTTATTGTAGGTATTTGTAAACAATCAAGTCGTACTATCCCCTAACCGCCCTAGAATTGTAAACTTTTTTGTTGGACACAATGGATGCTGTACATGAACAGTAGCATGCCATGGTTCATTAGTTGGTAGATCTCATTTAGATTTACCATCAACTATATAGCACAAAAGCTTGTCTGCTTTGATACAAATTGAATTGGCTGTTTAGATCTGTCCTCATATTACATAGTTTTGGTAACTCTAAAGGAGTTAAACAGACTGTACAATTAGATTGTAAGTAAAGGATTTGCATATTAAAAAGTTGAGGACTACATTCCCCAGGAAAAGACACTTGGGGGAATTGGTAGAGGAAGGCTATATAAGGTTTGTGATCTGATTAAGAGACATAAGATCTGATTAAGAGACAATAAATATATCTGAAATGTATCAATAAGGCCTTTATTTCTACAACTAGATGCTCTGAAGGTAGAATGGTGATAATACTTGTCACTGTTTGAGGTGTGGGGCCAAATTTACTCCAAATTGAAATATTTACTCTTTGACTGTAGAAAGGTTAAAAGGCTTTGGAATAGAATTGAGGGTAAGTGGTTTAATGGTGAGACAAAAAAATATTTTAAAAAAGATTGTGTTTCTACCTAGTTCCCAGGAAAGGGATGGCAATTTTGATAATATTGATTACATTAAAATAATTACTCAAAAGACTGGTTAAGAGAAAGGTACCTCAAAAAAGTATATAATATATCATACTAGTAGATTTTTAATAGTATAATTTTTTGTGGCCTTGGGTGTTCAGGCTCTAAAAATGGATAAGGTGGTTTGAAGATGGATAGGGTAAATATAGAGAAAAAAATAAAGTTTTCCAATAACTTAAATAAGGTTTTATAATTACCTGGTGTTATGTATTTTTTGTATTTACGATGACTATACAGATTTAGCTTAAAGAGGTTGTAAACCTCTAGACGTGACATATGAACAAAGCACATCCCTCTAAAGTGTGTACTTGTCTCAATAAAGAGCACTAAGTGTCATTTCTGTCAGCTGCTTCATTCCTCTGTGATCAGCATGAATCAATTCCGACAGGTTTTCCTGACACCAAGAGAAAAATGGTGACAGGGGAGGGAGTGCCAGCAGTTTGACAGCCTCAGATCTGTACCTGTGAACGGTGTGGAGGGGGAGGGTGGTATCTCTTCCCTCCAATCAGCTCTCAGAGCTCTCTCACTGAGCACTGCAGTGTGTAATTTCAGCTCTCTGCCCCCTTTTTCTTGAACTATCAAACAAGCTTTATACATTCAGTACTTTGAATGGATATAGAGAAGAGAAGACTGCAGATAGGTACAACCTATGTAGGGGGATTTGTTATGTCTCTGTGTATCACCTGAGGTCAGTCACTTCAATGAGTATATTTAAGGTTTACAACCACTTTAAAACATAAAGTAGAATTTAAAAAAAAGATCAACTTTTACCACACAATGTTTGCAGAACCCTTTGAAGAAGTTTTTACAATTTGCACTAAAAGGTTTCTGGTTCTGAATACCATATATAAATGAAGAAAGAGTCCACAGCTAAAAGTGAATTAGCTTATCTTTCCAACCAGTTAGATTTTGGGCTTTAACACTGGTCCCATTCAGAAGCTTCTGTTTTCAGCAACATAAATTTTAAAGTATGGTAAACAACCTTTATAACTGAAGGCAGCAGCTTTGCCAATAAGCAATTTTTAACTTGCCATAGTGAATACTTTTAAGGCACATACTTTTCATATGTTGCTGTAACAAAAAAGGCATAGATTCGGGTATGTCGGTGATGACGGATCTGCATTATTAGCTCAGGGATTCCCAATCGTACATGATTCAGCAGCCAGAGCAGTGTGTGATCATCTGTTGTGTCTGGAAGCACATAAAAAGGTAAAAAGCACAATTACATCATGACTTCATGAAAATATCCTGGTGTTAAAAAGTTTAGACATGTAAACTGTAGAACGTACCTGCAAATGTCATGACCACATCACAATTTTCAGTGGGCACAGTTCTCATCCAGGATTTATGTGATGTGATGTACCTGCCAGCTTGGAGGAGGCGCTTTCCAAAAAGTTTATCTGTTGAAACAGAGAAAGTAGTTGACATAATTTGTTTTAGTTGACAAAAAAAAAACAAAAAAAAAAAAAAAAGACTACAATACTAGTTACTTTGCTATTGCTTGCATTCAACTTACTAGAGCAAATAGACACAGTTACATATCTTTATAAATGCCATTAGCCCCAGGTTACCTGTTTTCCTAAGAAGATGGAATAAGCTTTCTCGTAACAAAAAACATTCTACAGATTAATACAGATTAATGTTCTCACTCCAAGAGATCATCAGCCAAGCTAAAAATACTGAACACACTGCTAAACATAATTTCAAGCATGACACACTAATATACATGGCAATTAACTAGCCTTTTAGTTTCCTCTTTTACAATAATGCGCATTTCAAGCAATCTGTCATTAGAGCTCAAATTAGTCTGTGTTGCTAATTGATGTTGTTCTCATCTGCATATATTTTATCCAATAGAAAGATATAAAGTGACATTTACTATTAATATGCATTTTATTGGTAGAATGTGTGTTTAATGTATTACTGGAGAGACTTTTTAAAAGTGCCCCAAGTTCCTCTACAATTGTAAATGTTACACAAACCTGAAAAATGGGTTAGTCAAGTGCAAGGGTTCTATTTTTGTTTCTAAATAGGCCTTTTAAATAATTGTATTTTATTAAGCAAAAGAAGAAGATTACACAAGAATTCATAGCAGTCTGACACTGTAGAGCTGATCTCATAGGAGATCCAACCTACTCTAGATCTGGGCGCCATAAGGAAAGGCTGTGGGGAACTGCTGTGTCCTACAAATGGTTTCTAAGAATCAAGACCATCATGGGAACTAAAAAAAATATTACTCTTTTGTTTAACTGTTTCACTACTGAAATGGTGAAAGGAGGAAACATTGTTTGTAATTAAGTGTTCTTGCATGGCAATACCACTTACTGTTATCTCACATATATATTCTTGTTATTATAGCCAAATTTACCACCCTATCTCCTCCCACAGTTTTTACTCTACATAGACAGTAATATACCGAAACGTGCGGACTGTTCCCGATTGGTGTGCTATTACTTTGTGGAACGTTTTGCCGAATGGTTCACGAAATATCAGCGTTTTTATGGTGAAATTGTTCCCATAGGAAGGAATGGCGGAATGTTCAAAACTAGAGTGGGAGCTGACAAAAGCTAGAGTATGAGCTGAAAAATCAGGACATGATTTCTAAACTGCCATCAATCCCTCATTTTCAAGCCCACCTACACAAATCTTATATCAAAACGTTCAGCTATCCCTGCTGCCACAAAAAAATGTCCACGGCTAAGCCATAGTCCTGATAGTTTTCACAATATGACCATTTGTTTGCAACTCACGCCGCCCATTGACATTCATTGAAACTGCACTCTAGCCACCTCAAATTTGAAGGGCAATTTCTAAACTGCGACTGTGCCTTCATTTTTAATATTTCAGAGACATACTATGCATCAAAATGTAGGTCTGGGTCTTGTGATTCTCACAATATAAAGCTCTTCGCTGTAGGATTTATAGTTTTTAAAACTACGACCATTTGAAGATGCCAGTGAAGTGAGCAATTTGGAGCATTTTTTTTTTAACCGCTCTTCTCTGCCCTATTTGAAATCTAATTTTGAATTGGTGACAGTTTGGCCGGCTTCTGGTTAAAGGTTTGGAAATAAGTTTTCTACAGTAGAGAGTATTTGAGGTAATAATGCTGCTAATGTTTTTATAAATGTATGTTTTAATGTAACTGTGAAGCACTTTGGGCAACAATATTGCAATTAAAATGTGCTATATAAATAATTAAAAGTTGAAATGCATTTCTCACTCTATCAAGCTTGCCATGTGCACTTTTTAAATTTGATCAATCAATTGGTTAGTGTAATGTTTACTGTCTTTACTCACTTCAAACACTCCACACAGTTACTCTGCCCACTCCTTAAAGTTACTCTGCCCAGTCCAACCTTTTCACAGTTACTCCAGCCACTCCAACCACACAATAGTTACTCAAGCCACTCCACCCAGTTACTCCGCCCACTCCAGTTGTAGACTACTGGTGGAGGCAAGAACACTTCACACAATTTCACCAGGAATTGTAGCTTTTCTAGTTTATTTAAGATTTCAGATTAGTGAACACAAATGGTATACAAATTGAACAGTCTGGCCAGCGTAATTAATGATTTCACATCTATATTCAAATAAAGCAAGATCTAAAAAGGCCAAATGACCACGGGGTTGATTTACTAAAGACAAACAGACTGTGCACTTCGGAAGTGCAGTTGCACTCATTTTCACCTGAGCTTAGTGAATGTGGTGAAGATCTGCTGATTTCCATCATCATATCATGTGCAAGCAAAAATGTTATTTTTATTGCATCAGACTGGGTATTCTCTGCAAAGTAAAGCTTCACCATGTTTACTATGCTCTAGGGAAAATGAGTACAATTGCACTTGCAAAATGCACAGCTTATTTTCCTTTAGTAAATCCACCCCTATGTTTCATCTTAATACCTTACAACGGCGTTTCTCTGCCAGGATTCCTCCAGAGGTTGCAAGGGGATCCTTGAGAAATTAGCAATTTCTGCCCCTCTGATAAGTTCCCGGTAACACCACTGATCTTTTTTAGCTATCTATGAGGGGGGTAATTATTTCCAATGACCACAAGTGTAAAGAGCATTCTTCCCAGTGACCATCTCACTAATGTATCATGAGTTTTAGATATAGTCATTTTTAGCAGAGTTTCCCTGAGATCGGAAAGTTATTTCAAGGGTTCCTCTGCGTTGAAAAGGTTGAGAAAGGCTGCCTTACAGCGTTGCACAACAGAAATCTTAGGTTTTTTCTTAATCTAAAACAGGGTAGGGGGCGAGAAGAGAAGGACAGGATATATAGATTACCCTCCAGCTCCACGAAGCAATATCATGCTATCTGGGGAAGGAGGTGGAAAGATAGTAAAAAATGGAGGGGGGTGCATGGCTAAAGGAAGTATTTTTTATTAAATTGTTTTCACACAACCCCTTACATTAAACTTAAACTTGTAAGCTGTCAAACTGACCACTTAAACAGTGCAGTGAGGAAAAATTGTGTCTATTAATTGAATATTACCATGGGTACCCTCCCCATGACCTAAAACAACCTACTTGAGGCATTAGGAGTACCAAAGACCATGCAGCCTATCAAGAATGAGCTGCAGATTTTTTTTTTTTCAGGGGCCCATTGAAAACACATACTTGGTGCAGAAGGGTATAATGCCAGCATAGTAAGACTTAATGCTCTTCAGCGATAGTAGCTCACTTACAGTAATCATTTGAGAGAGGAAATACATATAGCTTTTGAGGGTTTTTTTTATTATATTTTACATGGACTTCATAAAATAGATGATGCACTATTTCATTACTGGACTTCATTCAAAATAATAGAATTATTCTAGGAGAGATTTGGCAACATTCAATTCTTTTCTAACTCAAATTTATCTACTTACACAAAAGATTTCATCAACCTTACTCCTCAAAAATGAAAAATAGCGCACTTCAGTCAATATCAAGAGTTTGCAATTCTATTTAGATAGCAAAAAGCTGCTGAACTGCACAAAAGAACAATCTCATTGGCAGAAATATGGTGAAAACATATGTTAAAAAAAAAAAGCAACAGGTTGCAGTATAGCCTACAAATTCATGCTCTATCTGTAGTGTATCCCCAAAATGAACTTGTACAGGCTACGTGATATGTGTTATGTGAATGCACATCAGTGCAACAAATGCCAATATCTTTGCCATTTTAACACGAATTGAAACACCATAAAACATTTCTAAACAATACACAATGCACTTTATTATGCATTAAGAACAGCACTTTATTATGCATTAAGAACAGTTGTTGCCTATAGGAATCAATCAAGAGTCCTTGCCTCATTTTCTCAAAGAGCAGTAAATTGTTGAGTATGGATAACGTCTGGTTACTTTTTCACTGTCCCATTTTTACCATGAGAAAATACACAGTTTTACAAAATCAAAACATTGGACTACGGTCTTCCCTCTTTTTTTCCCCATTTTTGGGACAGCTGGTATCCTAAAGCATGTGATTATCTTTAATACTTTTACATACCACTATGTAGTTGTTTTTTTTAACTAACTATATACACTAGGACACATAAATGCTTTATGTTATTAAAAAGACAGCTTTGATTTTGCTTTCCTTTTCATGTCTAGAAGATAAACTGATATCAAGAAACCTGTAGGCAGGGTTGATGTCTGGACACTGCAAAGGTCATTGGAACCTGATCTTGTCACAGTAACCCACTCCTGTTAAATATAGAGCAATCCAATGACTACTCCATCTACAGCTGAAGGGTTAATTTCAGCTCAGGTTGAATTTAACTGCCAACCCATGTCACTTAGTACCACATATGAATTCAAACTATTACTCATTACTGCTAAGTATTTTACTCTTCTCTCCTAATAGTCTGCAAAAAGAAAAGTGACTGATACATGTTTACTGTCATAAGCAAAAGGTCTCATAACCAATGTGGCTAATTACTGAAACATGGTGCATCTGCTGAATCCAAATTTTGACACCTGTGACACATCTGTTTCAGCCATTTTACTTACTAAAAAAGTAAAATAAAAATAAACTTTTAATTACTTCCACTATAGTAAATAAGGGTTCTCTATTATGCACAGTACTGACTTTAACTAGCTAGTTGATACTTGTCCACTTCCTTACGCGCCTGACCACTGATTAGTGACATTAGTGCCAAATCATGAAAGTTAATTCAGGTACAACTTTTATTTGTGTTCCAATAAAGTTGTCTTTTGAAGAATGACAACACAATTTAATGATTATACAAAAGCCTTCCTTCATTGAGGCGTAGGTATTTTCTGCTGGAAAAATATGGATGGATAATTATTATCCTTGAGTTATATTTATCAGATGCAGTTTCAGCGTGCAGTGCTAGATCAGTGCTGAAACTGCATCTATTAAATATAACTCCAGGACAAAAATCATCCATCACAG